AGCCTGCTAATGCCACTAGAGTCCTTTTTCCTTAGTCCCCCTCCCTCCCTCCACCTGGACGCTTGGACTCCTGGACTCTTGAACTCTTCAGCCACTTGGCCGCATGTATAAGCATGTTTTCTGGTTTGCTTCACAGACAAAGCTTAGAACCACTTAAGAAAATCCATTCACAACCTGAAACTAACTAGAGTCCTGCCGTTGGCTCTCTTCGGATGTGTGTCTGTGTGTGTGTCCTGCAAAGATTCCCGTCTGAGGTTTGGCCCCTGTCGTTTTTGCCGGCAAAAGAAAGCTCACCTGATGATGGTCCCAAATCAACATATGAAGCAAACAACAAAAAGGATTAAGTCCAAGACACACACACACACACACACTCACATGAGCCTTTGCATAGTTTTACATGTCTAAGGACAAAAAATGAATTTATTGCGCAACAAAAACCAAACTTGAGACAATTCCAAAGCCTAAACCAAAAGGCCCAGGCTGAGGCTGAGGCCGAGGCCAATTTAGCAGCTGAGTTGGGCTGGCAAACTGATGGGGAGGGGAATGGGTAAAGGATTCAAATAAATTACCGCTACGGGCCATACTTATTTCATTAGGATTATTTTTGACTAACATTTACGGCTCCCCAGCTCTGAGATTGCCTTGCGAAGTAATTGGAGGAGAGCTGGCTGAATGGCAGGCAGGCAGGCAAGCGAAGTAGTCAAAGGATTCCGTCTGATTTCCGGCTATATCCGACTGGTCGGATTTCGATTGGTCGGACGATGAGGGCGCTAAACGCGAACAGTCAGCGATAAAAATAAAGAAAATGCCTCACGGCATTAATTATAATCCGCTTAAAAGTTTCAACATGTTTTCCCAGCCCCGAAAGCCCTATTCAAAAAACACGAATACAAACACGGTGGCAAGAGTACGAAAAAAAGTGGAAATCTCAAAATACGCCTCTGACTCAGAGCAAAGGCCAAGAGGTAAGAGCTGAAAGCGTAGAGGAGAGGGCCAACTCAAATGCAAAGTGCAGATTTTTCGCATGTGCACAAGTGGAACTCCGAGTGCTGAAGAGCATTGACTCTGATTCGGAACAGAAGTATTCACGGGGGTGAAAGATCAGTCCAAGTGCCAGCTCAAAGGCCCTCGACTTACAGCAAGAGGCGATTCGTAATCCCTGAAAAGGAAACAAAGTTATGGGGAGGATATAATTTTCTGCATTTTGAGACATTTGAGACACATATTTCTGCGGGTTAAGTGCTGTCTTAGCATTTGTATTGTATTTATTTACAGAATTAAGAAGTCGCAAAGTAAAGATTATTCTTCATTTTCAACCAAATATTATATAAAAATATACAAAAAATTGCGATAGATTCAGTAAGGTTCTCTTATTTTCCCTACAGATTAAACTTTAAACCTTGTTAACCATTATTAATGCTTCACTAAATCTGAATCGACTTATAAAGCTATAACAATCCTGCTTCATATAATCCATATTTTACCAATGAGTATATAAACAAGTCGCTTTGTTATATCAGAAATCCCTAACCGACGGAGGTCTACAAAATACTAAGCGATCCAAACTAATTGGCAATCCCCTTTCGATAGTCCAGCAATTTTCCACCGCTACCCCGCCAGGTTTTTCAATAGCTAATCTTTCATTTCCTAGGTATTCATTATTCCAAGGCAAGGCAAAGGCAACGGCAAAGGCAAAGGCAATTCTTAGGTAGCTTATTTTGTTTGAGTCCTGCGGCAGGGGACCCAAAGGACCCGAGGCAAGACGCAAACCGATTTTCATTTTATTGTCCTGCTTAATATGTTTGTTTTTCTTTTGAAAGTGCAGCGGGGCGGGGGGAGCAGCAGAGGCAGGAAAATCAGGAAAAGCGCAGGGACTAAGGCCAGGATATGTGTGCAGGGAGCCAAAAGGTGTGAGATGCCAACCAAGTGAAAGGTTTATGCGTGCGTGTGTTTGTGTGTGTGTTTGTGTGTACTTTTCTTTGTATAGTAGTGTGTGCGTGTGTGTGTGTGTGTGTGCTGGGGAAAGTTCTTAAGTCGCTCCGAATGCTGGCGGAGCTGCCGAGAGAGAGCTGTCGGAGGTATTATAAATTAAAATGCACGCATTAAAAATTCTACTAAAAAAGAGTTTGCAATTAAGTAGGACTTAAGTTGAAGTGTAAATAAAAATTCACACACACACACACATGTATATGTGTGTGAATCCCTTAAGATGCTGAGCGAAAAGGACATGGAAATTTGTTTTCTGGCGTGAAGTGAAGGAAAAACTTGTGGCAATTTCCTTAAGACTATTGCTTAATTTCCGGTCACTCTTTCCCTGTAAACAACACACAACACCCACCAACCCACCCACACACACACACACACACGCTGGCCCAAGGGAAGCCTACTTAAGTCCCTTAAAATCTTTGAGATTTTTTGCACTGGTCAAGCAATGATAAGCAAATTTCCCAACAGTTCACTTGGCTTAAGACGAACCCTTTCCCTTTCCCCTTTCCCTTTCCCAACCTCAGCATCCCTTTCTTCCAGCTGGTGCTCACGTGTCCGTTCTGGTTATTAAAACTTTCGGTCTGTTGAAATTTTAATTTTCCTAAATACCCAAATCACTCAAAATCATTTTAATAAGTAAATTATGAGCATTCTGCCTATAAATAAACAATCACACAATTTATTCCATCGAAAAAGTCGAGAAAAGACCACAAATATTTGCCAGCCGGAGAAGGATAGTTGAGTAATCCTCTGCAGTCACCTAAATAGCTCGGCAGGAGCATAGTTTGTGTGTGTGTTCATGTAAGGATTAAATCGTTTTGATGTCCTTGCCAGGGCAATTTATAATTATTTGTTTGCCTCGGCCTGTGGTCAGCCAATTGGTCAATTTCTTAGAAGAAATTCGAGTGGATAAAACTTTTCCTTTCCTTTCCAACCCCAAACCCTGTAATTTGGATATTTTATGCACATGAGATGTTTCTGGAAACTTTTCAAAAGATTATAAGTCCGCCAGAAGGGAGGCTGGGGGAAACGAGAAAAGTGCTTTTGGCATTTACCTTCGCTGCCATCTTCCTTGAGCTGGGAATTTTCCAATTTCTGTTGATTGCGATGACTGAACTTGATTATTTCTGCTGCCATCGATGCAGGTTAATAAATCTTAAGCCGCGTGCCGGTTCGCGGGGATTCGAATTGGAGAATGGTAGGTGGGTTGGGTTGGTTGGATGGCCTGGATGGGATGGATACCGTCTTAGCCTCTGAAAAGTAGAGTTCATTTACAAATCGTTTGTCGGCTTACCGGGGAGCCAGCAGCCAGGAGAAGTCGCTGTCTGCCGCGCCAAGATTTAATGCCCTCAAACAGTTTTCCTTCCGCGCTTAATTCAATTTGTTTTGGCCCGCTTCGACTGTCTCGATTACTTACCAGTTTTTTTTTTGCTCTGCGCCCTCCTGCCAGTGGCACTGATAATGCTAATAAGGATAAGCTCTGTCTGCCATCGTTGGCCCGGGTGACTTAAAGCTACTGATTCCCCGGGTCGCCGCCAGTGGTTGCTGAAATGCCAGTTCAGATGCAACAATTAGTGGCTGCTCGGTGGCTTGGCAAACCGCACTATAAGGCCACCGCGCACACACACACGCACACTAAATGCAGCCCGGAATGCCACCCACTCAGCAGCACACATATGCAGGTGGACGAAATCCGCTTTTGTTTTAGCCCCATCAAATCATGGCTCCATGGATAATGGATATATTGAGTTTATAATTCGGTTCCACAGGGCCCACAACGACTGCACTAATGACCAGTTTTTGGGCGGGGCCGTGGCGCCACCATGGTCAGCACAGGCATAATGCCAGGGCATAGGGTTGGGCTGGGGAGATGCCAAAACAATGCGTTTCGTGTGGGCGGATAATAGAGCAGCTGGCTAATTCTGTTTAAATTTCACCATTTCTGATATATATTGGCCGAAATTCGAATATGTATATATTATTTAATGGGATTATTATTTTTATAGCTTCCCGTCACTTTAAGTTCTAGAGTGCTTTACGGCCTGATCTGGGCCGGCGACAAACAATGCATTATAGTTGAATTCTTTATTCCTTTTCAACTCGCCACGGCCAACGCTGGTCCCCGGACGGGCTGATGTATTTATTTTTAATGCCAATGGCCCCCAATGAGGTTTTCATGGCAATTAAAAGATTTGCATGGCACACACGCCTCCCACAAAAATATTGCATGAAAATCGCACGTAATTGGGCTGAACTTTTGGTTGGTCCGATTTTCCGCGCTTTCCCCTGCTTCCGCCCCGAGCCTCGGTTCTTTAAAACGCTTCCAGCTGCCCGGAGCCAGGCAAATGCCAATCGTTCGCCAATCTCTGGCTGCTTACAATTTTTATAATTGGAATAATTAATAATACCATTATGTCGGCCGGACCTGGGGCGTTAAGCCTATTTGCAGTGTGCCCTCAGCCCCCTCTCAATAATAGCTGACCACGCCTATAGCCGCCCATGGGATGTCTATAACTTCTATGCTCTGAATTTTGCCATTTTATTTTAAGCCCTTGATAATTGGTTAGCAGGCTAGTAGCAGCAGGCAAGTAAGTTTTTGTTGGCCATTCTAAAAGGAATATCATAATTCATAATTTCAGAAATGTGTTTTTCAAAAATTTCAAGTTTTTCCAGGTAGGGTTTGAGGGTTGGTCCACCTTTTGGCCAGCCTGAAATGGGCGGTAATTTAATCGGCTAAAACCATTTGCGGCTAACCGCAACATGCAATAACTTATTTTAATGCCACAGTGCGTGTGGCAGGTGGTGGCAGAGGAGCGGGCCGGGGGCGGGGTCAATCTGCATAAAATTCCCCATTTCGAATATGTTTTAATTGCTTATTTTAATTTGTCGATGATTTGCACTTGGAACTAGACTGAACTAAACCGATTATTAAACAGCACTCGAGTGTGGCAGTGGGCTATTATTATTAGTATTTATTCTAACTAGTATTTCCCGCTTACTCCATCTCCTTGCAGCCAAATCACTTCCACTTCACTGTGTGGTGGAGTCGGTGCACTCGCTGCACGCCTCGCTCACCATCGACACTCGCCAGCCGTGGAAGCGGCGGCCCAACATCGAGACGGACAGCTATGTGATCATAGCCGCGGCCACGCCCTGGAGCGAGATTGTCCAGACGGCCCTCCAGAGGCTGGGCTACTCCCAGGAGGTGGCCAACACAGCCAGAGGTGGGTTTTCCATTACTTACCAACAATTAGCTATGTTTTCTTAATCAATTCTATGTTTATTAATCTTGTTTAGCATAAAATAAGTTACTAACTCCTTGCGATTTTCCCCCACGCAGGCTCTTTAATCATCAAACATTGGAAACCCATACCCTTAGAGCAAATATCGGACAACCCAGCAGTTCCTGTCAGCGATATAGTGGGTGAACTGACCTCGGTGATCACCCTGAGGATCGTAATCCTGCGGCCGAAGACCTCGCCCTTCGGGGAGATCAAGGACAAGCTGCTCAAGCTGCTGGTGCTGCAGTCACATGCGGTACTCCGCTCCACAGGATGTCCGCTGGATGAGGTGAGTTTCCCCCCCTGCGCCAGCCAATTAGACATTCACTTTGAACTTTCACTTAAAATTCTGCACTAAGACGACAAAATTCTATAATGATTCATAAGCGGTTTACCCTGAACTCCCTCCCCCAACCAGCCAACCGCTCTTATCCGTCTTGGAGTTGCTAAAACTTGCCGAAAAATGTCTCCGGATGAGAAGTGGCGGCGCTAATTTGCGTGATGTGAGGCAGGAATATACATATATAGATATATCTATATATGGAAACTTCAGCATGTCCTGTCTGCTTGCCGAGTATTAAACTCATTGAAAATGTTTTGATAGCTACTACAAAGAAATTTTGTTAAGCCGAGTTCAGTTATTTGGTTCACTTAACTAATCCTTTTTTGCAATAGTTTTCATTTTAATCAGCTTTGCGTTGCCAGTTGGCCTGCTATCTCCTGTCTCCAGGAGGATGTGGCTATGTGTATGTGGCTTTTGTTTTCCTTATTGAAATCGGTTTAGAAGGCTTAGTTGGCCATCCTGCAGGAGGGGTAACTGCACTGCCCTGCCCTGCCCTGCCCTGCTCACCTGACCCAATTCCATGGGCGGAGAAGGAGGAGGGACGAAGCGATATCGGTGCATTAAGGCCATAAATCATAAGCCAGTACACACTATCGATATGGCGATGAACAACACGAAATCACGGCCAGAAATACCCTTCAATTGATATTGCGACTGCTGTTTTATTAGACCCACTCCCCTCTAATGCCACCTCCCCTGCTACGGCCCATACCCTTCGCCGATTAATATTAGCAAAGCAAAGAAAAGCAAAGCAAAGCACGGCAGTTGTCGTCCCTCCTAATCACATGATAAGCATTTACCATAATTTCCACATTTCGTTGTCTGACACCTCCGGCCCATCGCGGCTCTCCAGTCCGGTCCGCTGCTGAGGAGCTTTGCTTTGGGGTGCGGCGATAGGAAAATCAATTTAATAATACCCCGCCACGTAAGAAGCGTCAACCCATTTTATTTACAATTAGGTGTCTACCCCGCCCCTGGCACCACATCCACATCCACATCCAGCTAGCCCACCTTACCCATCAGCCCACCAACAACCCTACAGTTCGCTTGTGTTCTGAGCAGCTTAAGTGATTTGGGGCGCCTCCTTAGCTGATAGCACCAGCACGACGCTAGAAAGGCAAAGCCACAGCGGAACCACCGAACCGCAGAACCACCGAAAGAGCCAGACATTATCTTTGAACAGTTGGGAGACAAAGCAGTATCTATGAGCATTTAATACGCCATACCAACACCTACCCTTTGGCCAACTCATCGCATTTCGATTCTATTTCTGTTGGGTAAATTCAATTTTAATCGCCATAAGCTGATGTGTCGCTGCCTATCAGGGACTATCTATTTATCGCCTTCGATTCGAGGTGCTGCGGCACTGTCTGTTAATATCAGCTCGGCGGTAGAAGGCGGTGGTATAGGTGGTATCGCTCAGGTATCAGTCCCCAGGGTCTACATATATCGTAATAGGCAATTTCGGACCCGTACTCGCACTCGCACTCGCTCATTTATGGCTAAGTAAATCCCGGCACTTGAAGCCCCCGGACAACCACAACCCACGTTCCCAAACCGGCGACTGTGATTTTTATGACAGCCGCTTAGTGACCGGCGGACTCTGGGGTCTTAGTGCAGCTACTGTTGACAGTCGCTCAGTGCAAACCCCCGTCCAAGGTTGGCCCCACTAATCCCGTGCATTTCGCTCTGATTTTCCACACGGAACACAATTTTTCGAGTTGTTAGTTAGTCTTCTGATGATCGAATCTATGATTTTGTTATTTCATATTAAACCGTCATATGACTGGGCGTTAGGCATTCTTAATTAAGTAATCAGCCCAGTGGGGAACCCAAAATGTTTCCATTAATTTTCAGCTCTATGACACATACTTTTGCGCAATAACATCGGAGATTATGAGCCACTTGGCTTTCAAGAGGCAATTATTTATTCGAAATGAAAAGATGTTACCAGTTGGCAGGATTGTCGTTAATGTCTAAAAAACCTTTACAAAATCTAAGAAAGCAACCCTTAAATTTGAACTTTTATCCTTTGGATACGCATCTTAATATCAGTTCCACATTTCCAAGAATAACAACAATATAGTTGAAAAATTTCAATCATTAAATTGAAAATTTGGAATATATTTATTTAGCACTTAAAACCAACTTAAAAACAATCCCCTTCCTTCCGTTCCAGGTCACGCTATCCCAAATCTGCCGTAGTTCCCACCAGAACACTTACGCCCTGCCCGGCGGAGAGATCTCCGATGACCTGCGTCGTAAGTTCGACCAATGGTGGTCCAACCAACTCTCCCCTCAGGCAGCAGCCATGGCACCCAAGATGCTTCCCTTCATGACGGGTCCATCGGCAGTTCCTGTACCCGTGGCAGTGCCCGGTGAGATGGACTTTCCAGTGGGCACCGCCATGGCAGCGGCAGCTGCTGCTGCGGCACATGCTGCCGCTGCAGGTGGCGCTGCTGGAGGTAATCCCTTGGGATCCATGGGAAGTCGGGAAAGCCTATTGCTGGCCAACGAGGCTGCTCATCATCCAGGCGCAGGGCAGGCTCCGGGACCAGGACATCACGCCAACATGCTAGTGCATCCGATGCACGCCTCCATGCACCACCATCACCATCATGGCGGCGGTGGAGGCCATGGTCCTCCGTATCCCAACCAGAAGACTCGCATGCGCACCAGCTTCGACCCTGAGATGGAACTGCCAAAGCTGCAGAAGTGGTTCGCCGATAATCCGCATCCCTCGCGGCAGCAGATCCAGACATACGTGGTCCAGCTGAATGCCTTGGAGTCGCGACGTGGCCGGAAGCCACTGGATGTGAACAACGTGGTTTACTGGTTCAAGAATGCTCGGGCAGCACAGAAGCGGGCTGAGATGAGGGGTGGGAGTTTGGGGAGTGCGATGAGTGCCCTGGGGCATGCCGCCATGAACGGCTATCTGAGCCAGCATGCCCCTTTGGGCCAGAACTCCAGCAGCAGTGCTGGCAGCCAGCCGATGAGCATGGGCAACTTGTCCATGTCGCACGATTATCTGAAGAGTCCGCTCAGCCTGAAGTCGGAGGACATTGACACCATCTCGCAGCACTCGGATGACATGGATGACGAGCAGAGCAGGCCAAACACTCCACAGTTGCCCCTCTCCTTGACCACTCATGAGCGAAATCGCAGTTCGCCGCTGATGGACGATGATGAAGAGGAGGCGGGGGAGCAGCAGCAGCAGCAGGAGGCCAAAAGCGATTTAATGAATGGCAGTTTGAACGACGAGGATAGGCATGAGAAGTCGCGGGATGAACTGCAGGACAACGAAAAGGAGAACTCCAGCGCGGAGGATCGTCATCAGGATGGAGACGCCCAGATGGAGGCCAACTCCAACCTTAACAACAACAACCACAACAACAGCAGCTCGCACAACGACCAGGAAGTGACCTCCACCCCCAAACGGTCTACGCCCAAGGAGGAGGACGACGACTTAGACATGGATGAGGACGAAGAGGATAATGAGAATGATGCCAGCCATCTGGATGAATTTCGTTCCCCTTCGCCGGATCTAGCTGGTGGCGTTGTCCCGCACAAGGACCAACTGCCCTTTCCCATGGTTCCCAACTCGATGTTCTCGCAGTCCTTCATGTACATGAGCCACTACATCCCGGCCTTTGGCCAAGCGGCCGCCGGTCATCCGCATCATCACGCTGCAGCAGCAGCGGCAGCTGCCGGTATCCAGCCAAACGCCTTGATGGGCGGCGGCGGACTCAATCTGTCGAGCATCTCAAACGAGGAGCGCCGGAAGCGGAACCGCACCTTCATCGATCCAGTGACCGAGGTGCCCAAGCTGGAGCAGTGGTTCGCCATGAACACGCATCCCTCGCACAACCTGATCCTCAAGTACACCGAGGACCTGAACACCATGCCATATAGGTGAGTTCTTCTTCTAGCTCTTGATTAGTAGTTCTAATTTATACGATTTTTTCTTAGTATTTCTTTAGTTATATAACCAATCCTCTTAGATCTCTTTGACTAACTTTTCCTACGCTTTTATCTTCTTCTTCCAGGCAAAAGTTCCCGCGTCTGGAGAGCAAGAATGTCCAGTTCTGGTTCAAGAATCGAAGGGCCAAGTGCAAACGGCTCAAGATGTCGCTGTACGACAGCAACCAGTGCGCCCAGCTGGGTGGACTCGGCTCTTTTGTGCCCAAGTACGAGGAGAGGGACTAGAATGGAATCCCTTCCGGAGTTTGAAATCAAAACTAGCAGCATTTTGTCTTGTAAATAGATTAACGAGAGACACACAAACAGAACCCAATTTAAGCAGCTCAAATCGCCGGCTGCAGCTATGACAAATACTATACCATATACGATAGCTCATAACTATGTAATCCCCTAGTTTAGTCAACTCTAAGTATTATAGAACGAGAACTTACCCAGTTACGCGTTACCAGTTGCCTCCTGGGCGGGCATCTAGCGAAAATTAGAGCAAATAGATAAAGCCACTTTACGGATAATACGATCTTGCATGAACCAGTATGACTAACTTATAGCTGGGCCGAGCCCCAGAGAACTCTATCTTGAACCCTATCCAGTATACAGCTCTCTGCACCTATTTCTACCTAGTAATTAGCTATATACGAGTATATAGAATGAGGGCGGCACGACTAAGGGCCAGCCCGTTAAGGATAAGCAAACCAAAGAAAGCCAATTTTCGAGAAACGTAGTCGTAGGAGCGGTCTACGATCTGTATATAATGTTATTCTAGGTACGCCTTCTTTGTTTCGGCTTTAGTTGCATTCGTATCTGCAGTTTAAGTTACGGTTTAAGTTTAAGTTTGAGTTGTACCAGTACCAGTACTAGTTTAGTTATCCTGCCTTATTTCTGAAATGATTCCCCTCCCCCGCCTAGCACACATCCCTTTCGATCCATGCACACGGATATCGCATATAGAATGTATAACATACAACTCGTTGCTGTCGAATGTCGAAGTCTTGGTATCTAATACCAACCAACAACCCCCAAACACTCTGGCCGCCCAATCAGCTTCGGTTCGGACGAATCCTTTTTGTTGCCAGCCACTCCACTTTGATGGAAACTCGTAACTAAATCTACACTGAAATAAAATGTTTTATAAATTGTTCCACTAGTTTCGTAAGCCTTCAGATAGATAATAAACTTAATTCAAATAATATTGTAATTTATTGCAAGCATCAATACGCCCTCACACACACACACGCAGACAAGTAACACACAGACAGACACACAGCGAAACACATCCACACACATCTTTATATATAATATAAATAGAAATATATTCCCCAGCAATTATTAAATGATTAAATAAATACAATTTTAAATGTCAAATTCAAACAGAGGTCTTTTACTGTCTATGACTGGCGGAGGGTGATTAACCATCGGACAAATCTGTGGAATTTGGATATAGCTTTATATAAAATCTTGTTGGGTTGCAAGATTTAACACGCTTTTGACATCTGGCGATAAGACTTTGAAGCCTCAGATTAATCAGCCTAATGAGATTTCTATTTTTAACTACGTTACGAATTAGATAAGCTCTTCTGAACTGAAGTAAACTTCATTTTACCCAACGGGAAGTAAGAACATTCTTATTCTAATCTCAGCTATGTTTATATGTTAAGTCTGATTAAGTCTTGATTAGTTCCTAACTTTTAGCTAATCTATATATGAAAAGGATATCGTTATGGCTTTTCTGGTAGAAGGACATTTTGATTTAGTAAGAACATCATTAAAAAGTCAAATTAAACAAAAATGCATTGTGAGAATGAAAATGTCCCATTTGTCCTTGAAGCCTTGGGCTAATGTGCTGCTGCAGTCGTAATGTGTTTGGCAATTTCTCATATGTGCCAGATCTTTGCTTTATTTCGGTCGCTTTTTACACATTTTTGTAAATCACTGATAAGCAAAGGGGAAATAAATATGCATATATGTACGGGAAACGAAGAAAAAATGGCAATATGAGCAGCACATTTAGCTTCGTTTCGAGCGTGAGTTGTGGCACGGGGCGTATGAGTTATCTTCCGCTCTCCCGCATCTTGGCCGCAGATATGAAACAATTTATTAGCGCCGAAGTTTACTTATTTTCATTTCTTTATTTCTCCCGCCTTTGTTACATCCCGCAGTCGGTATCTAGGAGTGGGGTTGGCTTCCTTGCGGTTACTAAATCAGCAGTCAACGTTATTTCTTATTTTAAGTACACGTGTGGCTGGGTGTAGGGGATGTGCATCATTTGTTATCGCCAACTTTTAAATTAAAATTGTGGGAAGGAGTGAAAGAGCTGTAGGAATTTATAGCATATCTTTGGGCGGTGCGCATATTGGACTAGCTGCTTATTTATGGATTTCGTAATAAAGTGAGAAACTGTTGCATACTTCCGGGCTGAAAAGAAGTAATACGATTTTAATACAGATTTCCCATGAATCTAAAGAAATTATAAACTCTAGAGCAATGTAAATCATTCCAGGTATTTCCCAACTTTAGAATTTCCCTTTTTAGCAAACATAAATATTTACCAAAATATTTAATTCCCGGCCAAGAAGCCCCTGCTAACTGAGAAGCCCTCCAAGCAGTGGGATGTACTATACGAGAATTCCGCATAACTTTATCCATTAATTAAAATTGCCAGCACTTTGCACCGCTCTGTGTGGTTGGCTCACGAATGAAATTAGAGCCACGCCCACTGCTGGTCAAAGTTGGCGGAGGGCGGGAAGGTTTTTCGAAGGGGCATTAAATGTAAATATACATAAACAGGAGGCGAGCGGAAAAGAAAACATTTACATAGTTAACTACGCCGCACTTGCGGCTGTTGGCCAACTTTTGAGGTGGCCAAAAGGTGGGTCCTCCGTGGCGTGGCAATGGCAGCATAAATCTTGCTTTCGAAAACTTTTTCATATGGCCTTAATGACGCCAAATGGGGAATAAATCTGTATAATGCAATCATAATTAAGTGCTGCTCAAGCCATTGAAAACTCGCCATTGCAATATCTATCGAATTCAGCTGGAGATCACTGTTTGCCCGAGAAGAGCCATTGCCCATCAAAGACAAACTGCTTGGCGGCAATTAGAGGATACGAAACAAAAAAGACTTTCGCAATGCCAAAAAGGACAAAGGGGCGGGCGGGAAAATGGAGAAAAACCCGTCAGCAGGGGTGGCACATAAATAGTTTTGCGGCTTTGACTGATATGCGGGGCAATAAAACTAATGAGCGTGCGAGCCAAAATAGTTGACAGTGGTTTGGTGGTTGGTTCGCCGGCGGTTTCCCATTTTCACTCAGTCGGTGGTGGCGATTCATTTGCCAAATTGAGTGCGCAAACAAACCGTAACGAAAGTCAAATGAATATAACGCAAGTCCAATTAAATGGTCATAAGTAATAATAATTCCGCTTTGATTTGTGACATTCACTTTACACGACCGTCGGAGGGAGAAGTAACTCTGGGAAACTGGGCGAAATAAGGAAACCAAAGGGCCAGACAACTTCATCTTGGCCAAATTAGTTAATGAGGACCTTTAGAAATAAGGAAAACAAAAGAAAGCCACTGATTGGGATGGGTAATAAATTGTACTGGCTGATTAGAAAGCTTATAAAGTCATTTCGGGATGGCACAAAAGTCGAATTTGATTTAAGTAAGAAGGTTAACTATACCTAATACTTGCTTTGTCAATTAGTGACCTTTACTGTCAAGGAAAGAGTTTTTAGGATTTATATTTTTCCCGAAGTAAGCTTAGTTTTTAAGGGTTGTAGTTCTTGGAATACCATCTGATAGCTAACATAACTAAGGGACTCATAATGCTCTCCTTAAAGTATGACCATTAAATAATAATCATTTTACTTGGTCTAAAACTGTGCCACTTGCTTCTACAAAGAGGCTATCCTACAACCCACTTTAGCCCGGGTCAGCAGCAAATTACTTTTGGCACATCAAGATTTTGCGTAAGAACACGACAGGAGGGCTTAAGGGGACACGTACGATGGGATAGTTTGGGGAGTGGGCGGCAGGACATGGCTCCGGACACCCTCTCACATTCCCATCCATCCTGGGCCTGCATCGGGCGATTATTATTTATTATCTTAATTACGTCTTAAAATCCCCTGTGAAGCGGGACAAGCACCTGCCTAGGAGAACAGGATGCGAGGGCAGACAGCCCCTGCCATTGGGAATCCCGTGTCCTGGCTCACGTGCTTCTCCGGCCAGTATGCAGGGAAAGTATTTGCGCGGAAAATTGTGCTTCTCTGGCATGGTATGGGTATGGGTGTGGGTGTGGGTGTGGGTAAGGGAGTGTGTGTGCTTTGCGCACATGCTACCACTCTAAGCCTTCCCTTGTCTTGTCTTTCGGGCACCTTATCCTTTTGGCTGCATCCTGCCCCGCTGTCAACTGTCGTTTGTCTTGGGCGCGTAATAAAAAGACTTAACAACGCGAGTTGTTTAATTATTATTTATGACACTCCTCGGCTCTCGCTCGCCAGATTATTGCCCCAAAAAATTGTGTTTTTCTAGGAGCAAGCGGTGGGGCTGGTGGATAGTGGGTGGTGGGTGGAAGATGCGATGCACAAGCTAGATTGCCGGCTGCTTGATTTACCGTCTCGGCTGTTAGGACTATTTAAATCAATTGTGGATTCTTGCGCTGCCGCTGGCGCATTCAGATTTTCCCGGAGAGCCAAGCCCGAGCTCAATCTCAATTCATTTTCATAAAATCCAAAACTTTTACTTCCCCATAATTTACGATGATAATTATGGCAACTGTGAATTACCCCCCAGGGAGGCTAAGCCAAGGCCGACTGCCGTTTGGCCCACATCCCACCCACAGACCACAGACCACCGCCCACGTCCACTGGGCAGGCACAAAAATGTAAAAATGATAATCCCAATGTCAGGCGATAATTCAAAGGTTCCCCATTCATTTCGGCTGCTGGGCAACGTCCAACGATCAACAACTAAAAGGTTGAAAATATTTCAATAAATATTCTGCGGATTCCAGGTTAAATCTTCTTGAAGAGGGATTTGAATATCTATGTCATTTTTTGTGTGACTTTCGGAACTTCTCACCTTTCTTTTAGGGGAAAATGAGCGAAATTAATAAATGGGAGTTGCTGGGAAATCCATTAGGGTAAATACAGTCTATGAACGGATTTATCTTTTCTGTTTTATTCAAACATTATTAGAAGCTTTTATTATATTTAATCTTGTTTGAAATCTCATAAAGTAAACTAAATAATTAACTAGGTGATAATATCATCATACTTCTATTCTCCAAAATTATTCAAGAGGAAAACTCACTTTGTTTAAGCTAAAGCATAGGTACAAGTCCTGGCATTCCTAATTAGGCTTTAAGCTGGCATAAAGTGACTTCTTTTAATAATAATTGAATTTCTTAACTCTTAATATCTACATACATATATATAATATTAATCAAATATATATGTAAATATCTCTAACACAATTCAGTTCAAGGATATTTCATGTAAGTAGTGTGGGAATGGTTTAGAAGAACAGATGAAGGCCTTGGACAACGAAGCAGAAATCAAAAGTAACGATTGACCATCTGGCGAAGGAGATGATAAGACGTAGACTAGAAAGACGACGACGAGAACGAAGATAACGGCGAGTGAAGCGACATCAGGATCGCAGATTTTGAGAGAAGAGCCGACGACGAGAGACTTGCTCATGAGGAGCAAATACGACGCGACGACGATTAAGTTTAAATTGTGAAGTGTAGTGTAATTATAAGTTAATTAAGAAATGTAATTTAAACTTAAGAATGATATAAATAAAACACCACAGAAGTCATAAAACACAAATGAAATATCCTCTCATTAATTATATTGGTTTTTTTATGAAACTACATAAGTTTTATATTAAGTATTATTTTTATGTTAATTAACGGATTAACACGTACCTTTGATTACATGTAATATATTTTATTATTATATTTTATTATTCAAACTTCACATATAAAACTTTACATTTAAGCCTAAGGCAAATTTAATTCAATTTCAAAATTTAATTTTGATGTAAGTTGATCAGAGTCTTCTTATATGAGTTACTAAACATTAACTGAATATTATTTTATGTGTAATAAATGCAAAGAGTAAATATATAGTAAATAACTTATAGTAAATAGTTACTTAATAAAAGGTTATTAACTAATTGAGTGGTAAAATGTCATAATATTTATATGCAATGTATTGCGTTTCTCCTACATTATCATCTTTCTCAAATATAAATAAATAAATAAATTAAAGATTCTTCATATTTTGGGCTTACATGCTCCTTAACTTTCCTCAGGGCATCTGGGAAGTGACTGAGCCCGATACTAAGCCCTGAGAATGAATTATGCTTTTAATTGGAAACGCTTGGCGCCGAACGCTTTCTGCTGATGCCGAGATGGCGTTGCCAAAAAAGATTTGCTCATTAAACCGCCGAAGGACTTTGTGACCCACACCCACGCCCACTCCCTCTCCTACTTTCTCTTACCCCCTCCTCTCCCTGAGCTTGGTTTTTCGCCTTGGCTGTCTGCTGGCTGGTGGTGCGCCGCAGGTATAAATTTCATAAAACTAATACGAATTGATTTATGGCATTCTTTGCTGGCCTGGCGAAAGGCTTGGGCTCTTCTTGGTTTTTTTGTGCCCACACCCCCTCTCTCTATAAGGAACACCTCCCGCCCCCTTGCAGATGGCATTCCGGCCTGGCTTTTTAAATCTCAGCCCAACCCCCGAAGGTGGGCAGGAGTTGCTATCAGTAGCTGGCATTGCTCTGGAGTTGGTCTTTGTCTAAATCTTTGCCTGCTGTCAGAGGAAGAAAGTTTTTGGCGTAAGGTGCCCCCCTCCCAACCTGCACCCCTTTTCGTGAAAGTAGGGGGTGAGTGGGTGGTTTCGGCTGGCGCGTCTTAAGCTTATAATTCATAAAGCATTTAAGTGGACGAAAATCGAAATTTATTGCTATTCAAGATATTTGCCCGAGAACGTTTTCCTTTGACTGTGAAATCCAGAATGGCAGGCATTAAATGGGAATGTCTTTGGTTTTTGGCTTTGGTGCGCCCACCACCCCCCGTTAGCGGCATAACTGAATAATAAATATAATTGTCTATAAGGCATTCCAGGGCTAAGAATATGCAAATTGCCTTATCACCCCCATCCCTTATGTTATGTTTGTGTATCAAGAATGGTACTCCTTGTGACGTATCGTCCTGCAGATAGAAGCAAATTGTTTCTCCCCCTCCAAGTAACAATAAAAAAAAGAATCTCAAGGCATAAAAATATAATCAAAGCCCGGAATGGAAGGTCGTTTGTGGGCGTAGAGTGTGAAGAGTGGAGAGTGTGTGGCCCACATTCCTCTGATGAGTCCGATTAGAAGAGTCATAATGGCAGGGATATCTTTATGACATCTGCGGAAATGCTAAGCTAGCAAGCTAGCAAGCTGGCAAGCTAGGCAGCTAGCAGGATGTCCAACGGCCAAAGACACCTCCTTGTCAGGACTTCCGGACGCCACCTGAATTCGCATTTCACTTTATCAGTTCTCCGCCTTTTCTGCCCCTCGGGCAGATGGACAGTTTGAGTGGGTGGCGTGCTTATCTCTCGCCACCGCAGCTGTCATTCAACTTAACTTTAACTTTGACTGCACTCCGGGTGGTATGTGCCACCTTCTCGCCTTGGCCCGACTTAATGCTCGGAAAATAAATAAAAAGCACTTCATTTCTTATTAAAAAATCGCTGGAAAATGCCCAATAAAACGGGGCGAAGGCCACCAAAGCTCTAAGTCAGCCCAGATTAGACGGGAGAAATTCAAAATCAAAATCAATCCATTAACAAAAGCTCACAAAGGACCAAGTCCGCGGACCGTGCGGCATTAACTTGTGATTTCAACTGTGCGAATTCCCAACGCCGGCGATGACTTTGCATCGCAGCGGCCGCTAATTATCCCATGGAAAGTGGGCAAGGGGGGTGGCACGGGGCAGGACAAAAGGCGTCTCGGCAACAAAGCCGTTGCGCTTCATTAAAACGGCAAGGACACGCAAAAAGTGAGAGCCAGTGAGGCAGAGAGAGAGGGGGAGGACAGCCCTGCGCATCCCTGCTCATTATCCCATGCACTTATCCGTGGCAACCGAATTTAAATTTCTGGCCCACAATCGTTCTCAAAAGTGAAAAGTTTGGTAAAACCAGAGCGGGCTCGGGGGTCACATCCTGACGAGCTTATCAGTCGCGGCATTACGCTGACTTCTGCACTCTCCTTGGATGTCTTTGTTGCCCTCTGCTTCTGATTCAGCCGCCCCACCCCCACTCCGCAAATCAGGGCATCAACTTATTTCTATTTGTATCGTCGCTAACCATTTCAAATGGTTTTCTTTTTTAAATACTCTACAGATCAGGGGGAGTATATATACTTTTGACTTTTTTATATAACTAAATCTTAAAAATATATAAGGATATATTTTATTGAAATATCTTTTAAGCTGAAACCTTTTTGGAGTTCTCAAAAATAATTGCTTTCTCAGTACTAAAATGAAAATGACTTCCATTACTTCTTTATCTCATCTCAAATGTTTTTCTGTTGTAACTTCAACTTCCTTTTGAAGAGTATATAAAATTCGTTAGTCTTATTAAACATTTTCCCCACTCCCCCATTTCTTTTTAAGATTCGAATGTTTCCTGCTGCCTTACCGCTCCTCATCTCGTAATCAAGCCACAAATATGTTGCTGTCAACACGTCAGTCCTGGGACTCCGGTTTTTTATTCGCTCCGTGGGAATGGGTTCGGTTTCGGGTTGGGGTTCGTACTTTCTTACTTTTCATTTTGCAGTGCATCTTTTATCGCTGCGGCGCTGTCGTCTGAGGCGTCGTTTCTGTTTTCCTCACGCTTCATTACAATAAATCCGGTTACGGGTGTCTGCTGGGCGTTGCTGCTGCTGCTGCTGCTGCTGCACTCCGGCCGAATCCCTGGCCGGGAATGGGTAATTTTAATGCCCTATCAGCGCCTTCAAAGGACGGAAGCAGGAGTAGTCTGGCTCTTGTCCCGGAGAATCCTCCATTCGAGCAGTTGCATTTCAGCGGGTGACAAGTTTATTCAGTCTTAAACGACTCCATTTGTTGCCTTCCCAAATACTCACGCTTGATTTATTGACACATGCTGCAGGAGTGCTTAGTACATTTTATAAAATCACTTCAAAGTGCAAAATAAAAGCAACAAAAACGATGTCTCTTAAAAAGCTAATGTATTTTTTAAGCATTTTAAACAAATGTTGTTAAATAATAAATAAATGATATTCCTACTTTCCAGGTAGAAGGAAGCCTATCCCTTCCTATATAATGTACATATATAATCTTGATCAGAATCAATAGCCGAGTCGATGTGTACAAGTCTGCCTTTCTGTCCGTTCGCCTGTCTGTATGAACGCAGAGATCTTAAGAACTATAACAGATAGAAAGTTAGGATTAAGCAAGAAGATTCATTAGATGCATAGGCAACGAAGTCTTTTAAAATTCATTCTAAAATTAGTTATAACAGTCACGGATATCTTAACCTCGCATTTACTGTGCGCTTACGAAAATATAAAATTAATGATAATTTTTCTATAAAAATGAAACATATTTATTTTTACACAAACTCCTAATCTTTATTCTTTTTCTAAAAGCAAAAAAGCAACGGAATTAAAATTTAATTTAAGTTAAAAAAATAGTAAATAAACAATTATCTAAAATATTTGATTTTAGAATGCGATTTTCTTTTAGGGTAATATTTAATTTTATTCAACTTAATCTCTTTGAGGGGGAACCAAAATGGCATAAAATTTCCCTTCTTAATAATTTTTTGTAAAAATATTCCATTATTCGTCTACATGCCTAGTTTATAACTTGGAGTCGTATTATAATCATTTATATTGTATAAAATGCTTAAACATTTTTGGGCGAATGTAAAAGTTTTCAATTTAAGGGTTTTAATTAGGTTTAAAAGGAGCCCGTGGAGGATTTCCTTCCATACCTATTTAAAATATTATCTAAAATTAAAGTCACTTGAGTGAGAAGTTTTTCTTAAGCCTCTAAGCCAATATTGTGGTAATGAAACTGTTTTATTTAGAGGAATAATTCAGTTTATCATTTCTTCTTTGGGGGTCATTAAGCCGGTTAAGATCGGTTAAAAGTTGATGAGACCTTTCCGGTTCGAAAACCCGCTAAGGTTGTTTGGTATTTTCTGAGTTCCGTAACCAACACAGTTGGCCCGGAAAAACACTAATCGCGCACTTTGCCACACTTGCCGTTGCCCCAAGCAAACGGCTGGCTTATCAGCGGCTTATCTTATCAGTCGCCGTGGAAGCCGATGCCGAACGCTGCCCGCGGCCAGCAGGTGAGTAATTTTCCTCAGTCGGACAGTATTAGACCAGCAGTTGCGCGAAGACCCTCTTGGAAAGCCCCACGAAATCGATCGGAATTCCTTAAAAACTTAACCCTCAAGTGAAAAATGCTGAGGGCGTGGCTGCATCGAAGTGGCAGTTAAATTCTAAAATCGGTTATTAAGTTTTCGAACCCTCAATTCCTCAATTCAGTGCGTTATACCCCTTCCTCGCCTGGCTTTCTGTTTGGGTGCTCCAGTTCCGTGAGAGAGATAAGATAAGTGGAGTGCAGTTCGAAGGGGAAATTCGAGCAATAGCCAAACAGGTGAATAAGTCCGATCTAACTGTGACGTCACTGACGCCTTGAAACCGTCGCAATTTCAAATTGCGTTTAAGCAAAAACCAGAGAGACAGAAAGTGGAAAACAAAACTCGCTCGCTGATAAGGGTTCCCTTATGGAAATGCATGCGCAATAAAGGAGATTATAGCAGTGGATCTCGAAACCTAATCAGGCCCATCCATCTAAATTGCAGACATGAGGATCGGCTGGGACCTGGTTCTCCCGCTCTTCGTGATCATCTCCTCCACCGCGGCTGTCAATTGCCCTTGGCCATGTCGTTGCACTTGGGTGGTGGACAGTCTGTATGCCGATTGCTCGAGGAGGAGTCTCCAAACGTATCCGGACTTCGAAGGCATTCCCGTCGAACATTTGGATCTGTCGGGAAATAAATTTGAAGAGTTTCCCACCCAATATGCGGACATAGACTCCCTGATCTACCTAGATCTCTCTAACAACTATATCGCAGCCATTGGTAGCAAGACCCTGATTGGATTCACTTCCCTGAGAACCCTTCTGCTGGCCAATAACTCCATACCTTCATGGGAAGCCCTCAGTCCCAATGAAGCCTTCAAGTATGCTCCGAGTCTGAAGAGGTTGAGACTTGATGGCAACCATTTGGGCATTTTCGGGAGCGGGGAGAGCTTCGAGCTGCTGACCAGTTCATCCCTGACAGAGTTGGAGCTCGTTTCCTGTGGAATTTCCTCCATTGGCGGAGACCAGTTGATCAATCAGCTGCCAAGTCTGGAACGCCTTAACCTGGCCAACAATAAACTGGAACAAATGGCGGCTCTACCCTCGAGAACGCTGAGAGCCCTCGACCTGAGTAACTGCAGCATTAAGGATTTGTCTGGATTCTTCTTGGATGCCCTGCAGAATCTTGAGGCCCTGAACCTATCCCGGAACACGCAAATCCAGTTCGACAGCCTGGCAGAGGATCCCATTCTGACCTATATGCTGCGGAAGTTGGACGTCTCCTACTGCAACTTGGACTCTATAGAACTGAGTGGTTTGCCCCAACTGACGGAGGTGCGACTGCGGGGAAATCTTCTGAGAGTAGTTGACGCCAGCACCTTCGCCAACAACACCATGCTGGAGATACTGGATCTCTCCGAGAACGTACTGCGGCTGCTTGGCCAAGATGCCTTCGCCAGCCTGAAGCGCTTGAAGGTGCTGAACTTGGCCTTCAACGAAATAGCTCGTCTGGACAGGAACTTCATCCGCAACAACGATGTGCTCGTGGAGCTCAACCTCAGCCGCAATGTGCTGCAGAAGCTGACCAAGATAGTGTCCAACTCCGTGCGCACCATAAACATGAGCTGGTGTGAGATCACCTCGATTGAAAGCACGGCATTGTCGAGTCTCTCGGCCATTCAGAAGTTGGACTTATCCAACAATCTTATCAGCGATATACCCACCTTTATGAGGTCGGAAACGCTGCAGCAACTCAATCTGGCCAACTGCAGGTGGACCTTATGTCTGCAAGTATGTATGTTATAGTGACTAATTGGGTTATTCATTTCAGGTTATCTACTGTCCGCAACAGTACCTTCAGAGAGTTCCCCGAGCTGGCGGATCTGCATCTGAATGGCAACCGCCTGACCAATCCCATTCCGCCCAGTTATTTCGGCAGCAACAAGTTCCTGGATCAGCTTTGGCTGGGTGACAATCCCTGGATCTGCGAGTGCCACAGCCCGCTCTTCGTGGAGTTCTACGACTTCCTAACATCTAAACCAGCTAAGGTTTGTTGTGATCCCAAAAAGATAGATTAGACTTCACTTTCATTTCGTTCTTGTAGATAAAAGATAAAAATCACCTACGCTGCGCGGCCCCTGCTATTTTCTATGGAAAACTTTGGGAGTTCGCCTGTGCGGATGTGTGGATCCAGAATGCCAGGAGCAGTAGCAATGGGGAGAAGGCCTGGTCCATTATCATGATCACCCTCCTTGTACTGGGTGCCTTGGTTCTGGGCTATTCCTGCCTTCAAAGGTATCTCAGAAAGCAGAAAATCCGGCAGAGTGACAGGGAGTTCGAGGAGAATGATGATGAACTAAGACGCATGTAAGGGGGATCTTCCTGCTGTTGAATTTTTTCTTCCACTAATGTGTTTTCCCCTTAGACGTGATCTCAACGACCGCATTCTGCTAGAGGATGCCACTCCCAGTCTGCAGCATGCCCAGGAGATCAGTCTGCTGCCCTCCTACGAGGATGCCCTGCGAATGCCCAAGTTGGTGAGGCCTGTGAAGTCAATGATGGATCTCTCGGGTCCCGAAAGAGCTCGCAACTCCCGAAAGCTGAGACGCTCACAGACCCAAGCTGATGGAGATGGTTCCCAGTCGGAGGCGGAGGATGGACTGCAGCTGGACTCCCGCCAGAGATTCCGCAGCGTGGAGATGCTCTCGAACAGGGACAAGGAAAGAACCGCCCAATATGGACCCTACAGGCGAACTGGTTACATGGAGTACAATCAGTCGGGAAGCCGGCGTTTCAGCATCGAGGACTCCCGGTTCCCGGCTGCCCACTTGAAAACCCAGAATCTGCAGAGTGCCGAACAGATCGGAAACTTCCAGAGCTACGAGAACAGTCCTTACACCAAGCGAAAGCCCAAGATCGCAGAGATTCCTCCGTTTAAAAGGGTGAACATGATGGCGGACAGCGTGGAGTTCCTCACTGATCCGGAGTACGACGATGTGGCCAGTAAGCACGGAAGTCCTTTTGCGAAACGAAAGCCGAAGCCACCGATCCTACCCCCTCCCAGCATGAAGGTCAGTGCTCAGGTCTACACTCTGCAGCCGAGTCCTGTCCTGGAACTGGATCCCGCCATCGAGGACTACTTCAGTGCGGCCAAGAAGCAGCCCTCCTCTTCCACCATTGCCAGTGATTTCCAGGAACTGGATGAGCCGGAACTGAAATCCCTACCGGACGACAATCGATCAAGCGTCTCTCGCTCGGATGCCGAGAAGGACTCGGAGCGGGGAAAGCGCAAGAAGCGGAAGAACTCGGCCAGTCGGCGGGTTAGTGGCAGCTTCTCCGCAGCCAATGCCGGCGAGAGCTCTTCCAGCGACTCCGAGCTCAACGTCCTGGTCCACAAACCCATGCGAGAGACTTTATTTTAGGACCACCCACCACCCCCAACCATATGCCATATATTGTTAGCCATTCCCAACCTGTTAGCATATCCATAAGACTATTTAAACGCACCTTCAAATAAAACGACATTATTGAGAGTTCACTTCTCGTGGAAATTAATCTGAAAGTTTTGAGTGGAATCAGAGGAAATTGAGTGAAAGCTTTCCTTGCATTTTGAAACTTGTAAAGGTAAAACTTTGAAATGGTTCGAAACCTGGATAAGTCTGAGCTAAAGTTTGCTTTCATATTTAGCACTACAAATTTGATATTAGCTGTTCAATAGCGCCATCTATGTTTTGGCTGGCGGTGTTTTAGGATCTACTGCCAATCTCATGGCTTGGGGGCGCCTTCAACACCTCCCCTTGAGTCAATAAGGATGGGTTTAGGGATAAACGTTGGATGGTGGAGAAAATTAAGAAAAACAGCCTGGCAACAATGACTCCAATAGAAGGGAAAAAGAAATAATTGAGCGTTTGCCGCAAAACATTGATGATGAGGAGACGCTGCTCTATACAAAATCTTCATTTTCTTTCAAAATTTAATGTTTTAAGTGGGTATTCATTCATTCATTCACATTACTGCTTATGGGGAGATTTCTTGGCCCTGACTCCTTTTATCCTTAGAAACGAGCGGATATGAAATAAGCCTATTAACATGACACTTTTAAGTCTTAGCACATAAACTCGATATTAAGTTATTCTTTAATTTTGTAAGCATTTATCATTGGCTTAAGGGGAATGTTGTGTTCGTTGACTTCCAACTTAATAAAGTACTTTATTACATTTTGAAAATGATAAAAAGCCTAAGGAGTATTTTATAATCCCTTGTAGACTTACATTATTGTCTCCTTCTGTTAAAGAGATAATATTTTATATATGTTAGCCCTAACTTATATCCAATAGTTGCAGTTTTAAGAAAGTTCTATATATTGTCGTACAGTGCTAGTATCATCTGAAAAAAGTTAAACTTAAGGTTCCAGAGATTTCTAACATATCGAAAGTATGCTGCTTGCTTAATTTCTTGATCGAACATTAAATATTTCTACTAGGCCAGTCAAAATCTTGACTTTTGGATTCCATTCCCCTAAAAATTACTACGAAAAAAGCGATTCTGTGCAATTTAATCATAAAAAAGCAAAACAAATCATGATTTAATTTGATAATTCTCTCGCATTTAATGAATTCACACAATATAGTTTGACAAGAGAAGGAAACTTAAGTAGATTACAGTATATAGGTAGGTTACGAAAGTACATATACAGTAAGTATGGTGTGAAGTTCACATGCAGATGCAGGCTGAAAGCATTTATCGTATCATTAAAAAGGAGTTATCGGCTGCCGTTTATTCCCCGGTTCATTAACATGGTTTTCGTTATTCATTTTATACGCATATATTTTTTAACTTTGGTATTAAACTAGATTTACGCTTAGGAGTAATTAATTTACTTATGGCTAAAACACTACTTGTTGGTCACACTTAAGAGGGGAGTCGGGTGCTTAACTCGAATAGTTTTCTGTTGTCGTCGCCTTGGCTTCTTTCTGGTTTATTCTAGATGTTGCATGTTGCATGTTGCTTGTTGCAGGTGTTGCTGTTGGGCTGCTTTATGTTGCTGGTGATGAAGCTGAGGAGGGATTACACCCCTGTTCCCTGGGTTACAATCCAATCGAATTCAATTTCTAGTCTTTAGAAAACAAGTTAAAGTTCTTGTGTAAATCCGATCCGAATGAAGTGGGTAACACTCTCGGGGGCGAAGTCGGGAAAGTCGGGCTGTGTCGAGAATTGATGGATAGCGTAAATCAGTGGCCGTTGATGGGTGCCACCTGGTGGGTGGGTTCGATGGGTCTGACGGGCGTGGTGATGATGTCCCCGGCATTGGACTTGCTGCGCGTCACCAACATCGGAGTCTTGGGCTTCGGGGTCTCCGTCAGCTTGATCTTGACGCGTCCCGTCTCCGGCGAGTAGACAGGGGAGTATCTTCCGGACTTGGGAGACGAGGGCAGGTAGGCGCCATCCGGTTCGTTGTTGTTCTGCTCGGCGAGCTGCTGTTGTTGGGCGTACTTCGAGGCCCTCGGGGACTGGGGAGTGGGGTAGCGCGGGCTGATGGGGTAGTATTCATGGGCGGCGGGTTCCTCGCTTTCGGGGGCATCCTTGGCACCTCCATTGGCAGAGCCATTGCCATTGAGCAGGGGCTGCTGGCCAGCTCCGTCCTTGGTCTCTCCGTTCTCGTAGGGCTTCTTAACAATCTGTGCCTCATCCAGCTTGGTCTTCTCACCGATCAGAGGAGAGTGCTCCTGGCCATTACCATGGCCATTCTTGTGCAGCGGCTTGCCCAGCTGCTTCTTGTCCATGTCGAGTAGCTCCGTCTGCCTTTGGGCTTCCGCATCTCGGGCTGCATTTCTGTCGTATTTGCAACGCTTGATGGCCACGAAGAGCACCAGGCCCACAACGATCAATCCAATCACGGCGAGCAGATAGTAGATGGCACTGCTGTCGTCCTTTGGCTTGCCTATCTTGGCGGTCAGGATGTCCTCGGACTCCTTGCTGCTGTCCAATGGCCCATCAGTCACTACCTCCGACTTCACGCCTTCGTTTAATTTCGTCAGCACCACGGGAACGATCACTTCTTCCTCTACAGGCTTCGATTCCTCCTGGCTGCCAGGCGGCTTGTAGATTCCGATCGAGGGTCCAAAAACGGTGTCTGGATCCTCCAGAGGAGCAGCGTCCTTGTCATCCTGCTTATCCTCCAGTTCTTCTTCCTTTGCAATCTTCACTTTAGATGGATCGGGAATGATTAACAGACCACCTCCGCTGCCAGAACCCTCATCATCTTCGTCCTCGTCCGTCACGATATGTTCCTCTATCTTCGGGGCAGAAGTGGAGGCCACAGCTGGCGCCACTTGGGACTCTGCAGCTTCTGGATCAGCTCCGTACTCCTTTGGCATTTGCAACTCCATGTTGGTTTCGCTGAGGTCTCCGGATCCCTCGACCTGGTCACCAGGCAGGGGTTCCTGTGGCGAACGAACTTTCTTGTTTGTGGCGGCGGCGTTTCCAACGAGTGGGAGGAAGTCCTTGACCAGTTCGTCTTCATCCTCGCGTTCTCCGGAAGCAACTGCCGGCTGGTCGCCCATCATCAACTCGTTTTCGTCGGCCTCGGAGTCGAATCTTTGGATTTTCTCCTTCTTACAGACCTCGTCCTGCTTCAACTGCAGCCAAGAGCGACCCCTGTACTCCAGGGGATAGGAGCAGATCACCGGATGCTCCATATAGACCATGCGCTCCACCAGCCAGTTGCGCACCTCCAGCGTTTGGCAGGAGCAGTTGATGGCGTTGTGGCTGAGTTCCAACTGGCGCAACTGGTACATGTGGGTCAGCTCCAGGGGCAGGTGGGTTATGTTGTTGTGCTGCAGGTTGAGCACCTGCAGATGCTGCGGCAGCTTCCTCAACTTGTCCGAGGTGAGGCGGTTGTGCTTCAGGTTCAGCCGCTTCAGGCCCTTGCCCAGGTGACCCAGATCCATCAGCTGGTTGTGCGAGAGGTCGGCGGAGGTGAGCTCCGGCAGTTTGTCCAGTACATGGCTGAAGCGGGTGAGGTTCAGGTGGGACAGATCGATGGAGTGCACCGGAACTGTCGACTGGAAGGACTTCTCGGCCTGCCTCAGACCCACGGTGCTGTTGCACTTCAGGTGGTACAGCTGCTTGTGCGAGTGCTGGGTTAAGCTGCAGATGCACTTAGCCGGGCAGTCGGCGGGTGAGGAAACGGGTGTGGGCGTGGCGGTGGCTACCACTAAGAGGAACAGGGCCAACCAGGCGGTCAGGTGGACACGTTCCATGGCTGTGATGGTGACTTGTAAGCGGTGCGCTGGCAGTGGATCCTTCTTACTTCCTCTCTCTTGGTGTCTTAACTGGAAGGAACGAAAAGTGTGTTAGTAAACCTCTGCAAAAGGTAATCATTATTTTAATTTAAACTACTAAGAGATCTACTAGCTTGATATGAGCTACTTAGCACAAATTACTTTCGAAGAATTGATAAGAATTTGTGGGGAATATCATCAGTATCAAAGGTGGGAACATCGTTGAACATTCGTGTTGCATAAATGTTTGCCTGCTAAAACTTCAAAGTTTCCCCTCTATCTATTAGTAACTGCTAATAATGAAGTCTTTTTAATTAATGGGTGGGCAAAGTTTGCTAATATTTAGTAAAATTGAATACCTTTTACTCGAAAATATAAAAATTTCCCTGAGTTTTACTTATTTCGTATTTCTTTAATAGATAAAATAAGAATGGAAAAGTATGAATCACATTTCTCGAAAAGTCATGACAGTTTTTTTCAACTGCCATAAAAAATTTGATATATAGAGTTTATTTACCCGCTATAAAAGATATTCCAACCAAGATATTTATAAAGAAACACTCAAAATTCAATGTAAAATCCTAAAAAATTAACTATGAGACGACTTTAAACTTCGATCCTACTGGCACTACCTTTGAACGGAAACTAACAAAGCTTCGGCAGCTATCTTTGCCTGGCAACCTGTCTTCGTCACTGGTTGCGTCATGGCCATATTCTGCCTTCTGCAGCCATCCTTCTTTCCACGGCTTTCCATTCCTTCTCCCAAACCCTATCGACGGACCCTTATCAGTGCCAGAATCGCTTATCGCCGCTGTTCAAACCCGAGTATTTGACGCTATCTCCGCGAAGGGTAATTAATATTTCACTCGCTTGTTTTCCGCCAAACAGCTCCGTGACATCAGCAGAAGGCACTACGCCCAAAGCACCTGACCCACTAGCTAGTCCCCGAAAATAAATGAACCACCGAAGAAGAGTGACTCAATTGGAGGAGCACCAGTCCCAATCGGTAGGGGGCAGATGAGGAGGAGATGAGCGGGCCAAGGCCTTGGGCAGTTGCACTCGCTTAATCAGAGCAGATTGTCAGCGGCCCGCTTTTAATCCCCATCTTCTGTTTATTGCTCGCTTTCCACGAGCCACGCAAACTGATTGACGGCTGTCTCGTGGATGCAATTTAAGTGCAACTGGCGCTCGTTTAGATCGACCGCCCCAGCCCCCTCTCAGAACAGCCCCGCACTGATAAGCCCTGAGCCTCTGACCGCAAAAGCTGAAACTTTCAGGCACTGAGAAGAATGTTTTCTTGTTGATTTAAGTACCAAGCATTCATTCTTAACTTAGTCGGTTATTTTAGGCATTATATTTCGTGGGTGTCTAAAAATAACTTGAACTTAGCCGTATATATTTTTGAATTTTCATCGCCAAAACATTTAAACAGCCAGCAAGCAAGAGCTCTTCGGGAAAGGTAAACAAAAGAAAGTTTATTTGGGGGAAAAGTACTTTTCCCAATAATGAGATATAAGAAATATGGAAATCACAAGTTATATCTATAAATATCTTCTGTGCTATATAAATATCTGAAATGTAAGCACGTTGGAAATTCCATTTGAGTCGTTTAAGGTTTTCCAACTGACTGTCGCGTTTTTCCCTCCGTGTGGCACAATGGCGAAGCCCAATCCTAATCAACAGATCATCAACAGACGAGATCTAGAAAAGATGCCGAGCTGTCTGAGTGGCTCCGAGTTGCAGTCGCAGAGCCAGCTCAATTTGCAATTTGTAACGCGGACTTGAATTATTCAACAGTTGGACAGCATTTACATGCAACTAGCAGACTTAAATCCACAACCGCCATAAGGGTTGCCCCCCTACACGTGTCTCGCAGCGGGGGTTTCCCTTCTTTTTTTTGCCCCTTTTTCCAGCTTTCCAGCGGGTTGGCCCATCGCCCTTCGATGCGACGAGGCTAAAAATTGGAAATGGTCACAAAACAGGCAGCTGCTGGGCAAATAATTGAGGGATCCCCGCCCCTCGGAGCAGCGACAGAGGCAGAAAATACCAACTGGAAATGAGGCGTCACACGAGCATGCAAAAATAAATCTGCACGGAATCTCGCCGGAGATCTCAAGGGGGAAACCAAGGTCAGTGTCATTATGCGGCCATTCGTCCGAAAACAGAGGAGACACATGAAAAGCTGTTCGCCAGCAATTGTGTCACTTCTTTTGGCTAAACGGGCACCACTCGCGCCAATGGCTTCTTTTGGCTTTGGTGTTGACAAATTGCCGAGACTTGGATGCACAAACGGAACTTTCACCAGGTGGGCCACTCGCAGGGGGAGGCAGGCATTTATCAAAATCTGTCAATTGCTGAATTCGTAATTTGCAGCTGCCACCTGTTGCAGCCAAATGCAATCAATGCGGTTAATTGCCTTTTGCTAAAATCTTCTGCACCATCAGCGATCCGAGATCTGTGCTCTCCGCTCTCTGATATCATAATTCGATCACGAGGCATAGTTAATTACTTTCGGACGAGACTAACTAACTAACCCCTTTTCCCCAAACACTCACACACACACACACACACACACAGAGCATGCACTTTGATGTTCAGCGGCGACAGGAAGCAGAAATTAGAGGGGAGCTGGGCTTATGGGCACGGGGGCGTGCGAGTATAGATCCACCAAATGCCACTTAATGGCGAAAACGAGACCAACTTAGAATAAACCGTTTGCAAATTGAGAGAAATCAGCGCCAGACAACGGCGAAAATCTTAAACGATGACAAATGTTCAACCTTGACAGAAACATACACTGAATCAGTAACCAAAAAACCGGAGAACAATCTTGGGTTTCTGTCTTCGAGTTCAACTGGAAAGGCAGTCCTCCGACTCTTCGCTTCCCCACAACTCGTTCTTTCAACACTCGAACAAAAAGCGTATATGGAAAGGCACAAAAAATAAAATCACGTCATGCTGCGATCGCTGGCAAAATAAATTGTTATATATGCGTATTTTTAGATTTGTGCAAATCTTTTTTATACATTTCAATTAGCCTGTGCCCGCAGCAACAATGATAAAATGAAAAGTGTTTAGTTGGGCTTTTGTTTGGCCATATACGAGTGAATAAATATATATGCCAGTCCATGCCAGTAGCCCAAGTATCTTCTGGGCCACCCGTTTAAGATTCCATCTTTATTTTCTTCATTCCGCTGGCACTGACATATACTTTTCTATCGAATTCGCAACATTTCTTTGGCATTTTCTCTGCGGCGAAGAGGGAAAGGGGAAGCAAAACTGATGACGCCAGGGCAATTAAAACATCAGGTGATTTGGGTATTTTACCTGCCGAAGAAAGAAAAAAGCCAAGCTAAGACTGAAGCTGAAGCTGCCGCAAACGTTAATGTGTTGACCGCATTAAGGCCTCAAAACGCTGAGCCAAACGCGGCAAAAAGAGGCAAAAAGTACCGCCAAAGCCAAAGAGATGACGTCTAACTACGGATTGTGAGTCAATCGGTTGGATTTGGCCATACAGCCAGTCAGTCAGCCAGTCAGCCAGTCAGCCATTCACAATATTCGCAATACCCATTCAAGACGAGTGGCGGCAATGGATAGACAAATTAGCATATTCTAATTTTGTGAACCACTCCGACTTATGGCTGACAGATCGTCTGATATATATATATGAAAAGACAGAGAGATGTATATATGCACTTCCATGTATAATGACCCACATTGGGGACGGAGTACGCCGTCAACATTATCAATAAAGTGCCATTTAAGCATTTTGCAATTCAACTGTTCAATCAAGTGCAAATGAGCCTAAATTCAGGCGTAACCTGAAAAACTGAAAAACTCTTTCCCATATTGAAGCGTTCCCGTTCTCTTTTGGCTTTTGGCTTTTGCTTTTGCCGGGTTTTAAAAAACTTAAGTTTGCTGGCCGTGCAGTGTTTAATTGATTTCCACGAAACGAGAGAAAACCAATCACCGGGCCATGCATAACCGAAATATGAAAATACGAGTAGCGAGCGGCGGTGGCCAAAATACCGCATAAAGTCCGAGGAGACTGGGAAAAAGTGCAGAGCGTAAGCTGAAATTATGTGAATTATGCAAAACGTGTTGGCAGAAAGCAGAAAGGCAAAGTCAATGTACCAGATAATGGTCAGTAAACAGACCAGACCCTCCACCGCAACATTGCGTATACGACGGGTGGCCAGAGATTCTGTTTGACCAGAGATTATCTCTCGCCATACAACGCACAATTTGAACTTGACCTACGAAATCAGTGGCTATCAACGATCGGCTGATTTTTTCGGTTTTTCGGGCAGACGGCCAGAAAATGTTTGCTGGCGGAAAAACAGGGCTGGCGCTCAGCTTCTTGACATTCAAATACCATTTTACTCTCCCTCTCAGTTGGGAATGGGAAACTGTGGCTGGGAATTCGATTCTCAAAATAAACAGAGATCGTCGGTAGAAAGAGAAAGGCAGGCAGCCTTAAAAATACATTTTCATTTGTTTTTCGTTTCTTCTTTTCGGGCTTCCTCTTGCAATCTATGCAAACATTTCACACCCACGCCCAGCCCACTAACTTAAATCTTTGCCATTGACACAAAGCCAGCGGTGAGGCACGTAGATACTGTGGATGATGGACTCGGATGTCAACGAGTGTTGATTTTGATTAGTGCCAAACGCCATTTCGAATGAGTGTTTCTGTCAGAGGTGGCCAGAGGTGCGATGCTGAAGATGGTCAGAAGATGAGATCGGAATGGGAAAAGCCCGAGGAAATTCTCTTACTCAGAGCAAACGATCTCAGATCATTAAAAGTATAATAATAAACGTATTCTATTAATTAAAAATATATAATAAAGAGATGAAGTATATAACATCCCAGCTATTATTTTTAGTACCAACAATTAAAGAATAACCTAATATTGACTTTGCTGTGATGAGGCTATTATTAACTAATGTTTCGATTACAGTCTTAGTTAGTGATTAATCGGTAATTGGCAAAGGTGGAAAGTTCTCCACTTGGCGAAAAGGCAACACACAGCTGACTTTTCATTGAACTTTCCTCTGACATTCAATTAGAAACACGTTAATTTAGTCGGAGCTCCCAACTGGCCGACAACGATCAATGCCTTAGAATTGTCTAGAGTTTATCAATAACAAGTTCCACACGGCTTAGATCGCCGAGATCAAATCAGCTCAGCTGGAAATCTCGCCACGTAGCCATAATTAGCCAATTCGAGCTACAATGTTACGAGGGATATAGATATACATAGATATATATACTATCTATGCGAATACATATGTTTCTGTGTTTGTGCATACTAATAGTCGAGTTAAATAATATCCACACTCTCGTTAATTGGAAAGAAACGAACAGGCGAGACCCTGCAGATCGTTCAGACGGAGAACATGAACTGGTCATGAGGTTCATGAGTTTCGCTTCCAGTTTTCGGCTTCGGATGATGCAATTGGCAAAAAGTCGTACTTGGCTGTCTAGCCAATTCGACCAATTTAACGCGATTGTGTGGGCTGCGTTTTTTATATTCCAATTCAGAATCGGAATTGGAATAGAAGTAGGTATCGGAATCGGAATGAGTTCGTGCGACGACCTTCCCCCGAGTGAATTGCATCCCATTAGCACATCGAATGCTTCCGATTAAACTGGAACTAAAGCGTAATTCGCAAAGTTACTCACTGCCCGAGGTGAGTCTGAAATTTATTCGCCGTTACACTGGCAATAAATCTCCGAGTTGTGCCATAAAATATCAATCGGCAGATCCCACTCGATTGAACTATTCGCTATTGGCCGAAATCGGTCTTTAGCTTAAAACAATTTTGTGTCTGGCCGAAAGGCATTTTTACAGCATGCCATATAAATGCCAAGACGACGCCTGGCTCTTGCGAGAAATTATTTGCCAATCTGCACCTGCGAAAAACATTCCTCCGACTCTGCCATATCCCCTTATATCCCCCGATCTCCCGTTCTCTGCCTTATTTACACTGCTCATCTCGAGTTCAAGTTCAGCCACAGCAAACAAATTCAATTGTGAACGCAGCTTAGTAGCAGTCTTGCCCGCTGATCATGATCAGAGTCAAAGGAATCCTAAGCTGGGGAGTAATTGAGGCTCGTAATAAACTACATTTAATTGCTGTTTGTCATTATTTGTCAATCTGTGCGAATGGAATTCCCAGAACAGCTAAATGCCAGTTCATCGAAAGGTGTTGGTGGACAGAAAAACTGACTCAATACCATTCAGCTAGTTGGCTGATGTCATAACAATGCTTATGAAATTTGCTCAAATTATTAACGACAGATGACGTCACGAAATTCGGCCAAAACTTGTGCCAAAAATATAGGTATATGCCCAATAACCGAAACCCGAAAATGGAAAGGCCAATTGAGAAACTTCGTCATCAATTGGTATATCATTTCTGAGGAATCGACATGGACTCGGACTTCCCCTGCTGTTTTGTTGGTTTCCCTATAAACCAGATATCACTTGCAGTATCGAGTTTTGCCCGAGGGTTAATTTCAAGAGCAAGTGCTGACCTTCCCGGCAGTCGCTGATCATGTAGTGCAGTGTAATTATAGCCAGTAACCCATTCACATTCCCATTGGCTGCTGCTGGTGCTTAATGCTGTTGTTGCTGCACAGAAGGCGACTGTCGAAGGAAAAGAGCCCATCAGTTCATACCATCGGATTGGGCACGCAAAGAAAATTTGGGAACTTATGAAATCAAATATATTTGACTTGTCTAAAGATATGTAAGCCCGTTAATTTTCATAAATAATATAAACTCTCTTTGAATTCTATTTTGAGCAGCTAATTAACATTTCTTTTTGATTAAATTTGAATAAGTTTTGGGTGAAAAATAGTTAAGATTCAACAGCTGTCATGAGCTGATAGATAAAATGGAACTAAATCAGATGAAATAGAATTAGTTTTATGCTAAACTGACCTCAAATGAGGAGGGGAGAGGGGGGGCTTTTATAAGAATTTTCTCAGTGCACTATATGGACACTCCTCCAGACAAATTAGCCTGCGGTTAGCTGTGGATGCATTCGAAGATCGCATGATCGTACAGCCGTTTTTCGTGGCTTCGTTTGGCAGTTGACACGTTAAGAGCACGCACGTTTGCCGGCCATTTAAGTGGCCCCAGCATCGCAGCATCACAGCATCTTGGCCATTGCCACTGGCCAGAAGATGGAGGAGCCGATAAAGCGGAGAGCGGCATTTGACAGTTATGACCACTTGTTTTATTTTTAGAGCCAAAAACGGCTAGGCCAGTTGGCAAGCCAGAGCAGAGCAGAGCAAGGCAAAAGCACAGTAAAAGCAAAAGCAAAGTGAAGCCGGCCGGCACCCACAGATTGGCTGGAAAACAACAAACGCGGCCAAAAGCAACTGAACTGGTTTTGGGCCTTTTTTTTCTCAGCTCAACAATGACTCGCAAGCCCAGTTAAGAGCTCCAAAATATCCCCTGCCCGCGCCCGCACCTTGATCTTTACTTTTAGTTTTGGGGAATGCCAATTTGATGTTGGCACAACTCAATTCGTACCTTCTATAAGACATGCAGACGTCGATCCTCGGATCCTCGCTGGCCAGATCTGCAAGAGACGGAAAGATGAAATGGCATTTTAGTATCGGCGATTCGAGTGACTTGCATTCGGGGAGTTTTCTATTTATCTGCGCAATTATTTCTTGGCTTTGATTTTAATTGTGTGCAATTAAAGTCTTAATTGCCCGCCCGTCTAAATTCATTTTTAACGAACTTTGCTTCACCAATAGATACTCGTCGTACTGTCATTCGCCTAGAGTTGATGTGGCTGCAGCTGCCAAAGGTATTAAACTAATCTTAATCGCAAAGTGAAGTGTGAAAGTTTCGTCCGAATATAAAAAATCTCTTTTTCGTAAAAAACAAATTTTAATAAAATTGGCTGAAGGTCATGCGAGTTCAGTCTCCAAGGTGAAGATCTTCTCTTTGAAAACCAACAACTTAGCTCTGAGAATTAACGACTGAATCAGCAGAGTGCTAGCCCGTCGATTCTCAGGGCGTTGCTCATCCATTGTTAGATCCCAAGAGCCATCAACCATCAACCATCTACCATCAACCTGTTGCCTGATTGCTATGCAGTGGACGTGACCGAAAATACTGTCACGTAATCGCTGGACTCCCACAGAAGTGTGGCGGGGCTTTGTTTGTGAATGGATCGGAATAGTCTGGTCGTCATATCGACGAGGTCGGGCCTCATCACATGTAAATTAGCAGCCATTGATGAACCGGTCAACTTCTGATCTTTGGAATCATGTGCCACCTGCCAGAGCTCTAGAGATCTGAGAAACAGATGTCGAGATCTTAGCAAACTCTGGCTGCCTGTTGAACTTGAATAGTTCGCAGAACAAAACTATTTCCCCGAGATGTTTACTTTTTGAAAATACCAAACGGATAAACAATCTGCTGGCCCATTCTGCGTCACGCATCCATCCCATTCCATGGCGGAACTCTCCATATGCCCAGGCCGGAATTCCTTTCATTTCGGCAAGCTTTTCCACTATCTCTGCGACTGAGCCAACTTTATCTTATCGTGCAACATTTGCTAATTATAGATACGGCCGAACCCCAAAAAAAAGCACAGAACGGAGTCATGTGCACTTGAGCTTGGGGATTTGACAAAACTATGTGTAATTCTCCTTCCATTTTCTAGAATGCACTCCAATGTCGGAGACACATTTCCATTTCCATTCTCCATTTTCCCCCCCACTTGAGGCAGTTGCCCAATGATATTGTTTTGATTGCGCCCCGATAACAGCTTGTTTCGCCTTATCGAAACACATTTGTTACTCACTTGCTCATCCCCCTTGGAACAACAACACTATATAGCCACTATATCTAATGGGGACAAGGTTGACACATCCACCAAAAATGGGACCACGAAGTGCACTCCATTTCTATGCTCTGGCTGTGAGAGTGTTACTGCATCTCCGATTGCCTTGGATCGAGACGGAACATAACACCTCGAAAATCGAGAACCCAGACGCGAGGCGCCAATTTCCAATTGCCAGCCGTTAAATTGAGCAAAAAATCTCCCTTGACTTGAACTTGAAATACAACACAGTGGAATTTAATGTTTCCGTTTAAGATATGTTTTAGTGAAATATGTTTAAGTACTTTGCAGGAAACGATGTGTGTGTACGTTTCCGATAAATTGCCGAGCCTCAGGTTATAGATAAGTGTGTCTGCGCCACTCGCAGATACACAGATACTATATATATTAGCACCCACCAGCCTGGCCGGAGTATTGGCCATAAAGTCGATTTCTGGAAATTGCCTGAAAAACAGTTTTTAGTTCGCAGTCGCACACCTCTGTGAATTATGCGCTGGAAATTAGCACCTTGGCTCTGGGAGATGGAGAAAAAGTCGGAGGAGTAACATATTACGCAAGACCTGGAGTTTATAGCTCCACTCGGAGACGGGCGTTCCACCTTCGCAGTTTTTGCAACCCGGGAACATGTCTCTCCGCCTCTATCTCTATCTCTATCTCCGAGTTGATTGATAATCTCATTAGGTGATGACGTTGCATGACTCTATGCTTTTAGACCTGACAAACAGCACTTTGTGTTATTATTAATCTTTCTCTTTTTATACATTTCGTGTCCCAGTGATTCACCCGGCCTTTGAAGTGGGTGGCAGTCCACCCATGGGTAACCACAAAAACGGGGGAGCAAGTGAAAAATCATAAAGAATATAGCCCCGATCGCTAACCTATCCGTATCTGAATGAATCAACCGACTGACGAGTGCGGTTTCGAATGGTTTTACGTAAACGATTCCGAATTGCAGGGCGCCGAAAGCTCGCCGGTTCGAGAGGTGCTCGGGTGGGTTTACGTTTAAGTCTACCCATGTACATATCATATATATATATATATATATGTATATATACTCGTATGTCATATATGGGCAGACAGATCGGAGCTAGGAATGAGAGGGATGGGGCTTGGGGTGGCTGGAAGCCAGGTCGCGTAGGTAGCGGAGTGTCTGGCTCCGGAGACGGAGATTTCACATGAATGCGTGCTACTTCTGTCTCTTATAATAAGTTTGCAATCGCTTTCGGCTTGGCTCAAGTCTCAAACTTTAAGTGCCCATACCCGGGGGTTAAAAGAGTAACCGTTTTATTATATTGTAGTTCACGTTACTCATCCCTCTTTCATACTTTTCATTTTGTATTTTTGGCAATTATATAACTTGGATGTGTTGGGAAATAGGGTCAAGTTTGCCACAGAAACCGCAACTGCAAGACGAGCTCACATATGAGAGCAATAAAAAGTGAAGCGGTTCGTCGAGTCACTTGTTTCATCTCCAAAAACCCCGAACCCTGGCCTTTTGCATTGCCTATTGACTCAAGTCGAGATTAATCCCATTGGAATTACTATCTCACACTTTTTAGTTAGTTTTATGTTTTAGGCTAATCTGGCTTATCACGGCCGGCAGACAGTGAGGCTTTTATTGCGGGTTATCAAAGCCCAAGACCGAAGCCAAACTCACAGTTCGCACTAGAATTCTTAGCTTTTCACTGTTCTTTTTTTTTTGTGTTTGTATTTGCGGTCTTTGGTTCTATATTCCGAGCACTTTTGTTTAATCAGATATGTATGTTTTAGTTTATTTTGCTCGCAGTATATGCGTGAGTACGTATTATTCGCTGTTTGCTGTTAGCACTGTATTTGTCTTTTGTTCTTGGCACTAAAGAACCCGGGGTCCTTCAACACACGATGCGATCGCAGCGTCTTGCGGTTCGAACTGGCGGCCAGAGACTGGCGAAGATCGCATCCGCCGAGATTTCTCAGTCTGCTATCACAGAATGTGTCGCAGCCGCCGCCAAAAAAAAAAAACAATAAAACGAGAAAAGATACAAAAATTCGGTACTCAAAAGGGGGAGAGCACCCAAGAACGCTGAGCGGAGGGATGACAATGTGGGCAAAAACAACAGGAGCGCGTCACAAGCAATTTAGACTCGTAAAGCGCCCAATGCAAGTGTCTTGTATCTGACGGTTTGATTTCGATTTTCGCCCATTTTCCGAACTTAGCGATTTGAATGCATGTTTTAGTTTCTACATGCTGTTTGTTTGGCTTGGCACTTGCACTACTGCCCAGCGTGTGTGTGGCAACGGAAACTATATAATTTTTAATTACCTAGACGGGTGAGGAGGTGACGAGATGGCGAGATGGCGAGGTGGAACTGGGAACGCTGCCTATTCGGATCGCTTTTGGATTCGCGCACACGCACCCGACGACACGTCTCGACTTTGGAGTTGCCCGAACTAAACAAAGCTCGATACCTGCGAATATCGGGTACCGTATGTTGGAACGCAGACCGAGATCGAAGATCGGAGATCACACACGACCGTACGCGGGGAGAGCTGGACACCGAATGAATAGCTATTGAGGAACCCTCGCTTCCAAAGAGCCGCTGAACTTCACCGGAGCGAGAGATTCAATCGCCGAAGAGCAAAGCACATGGCGAAAGCTACTGGGGATTTTCATAAAATAAAACAGAGAGAGAGGAAGAAAAAGAGAGAGAGAGAGTGCCAAACCCGTTGCACACACTATAGCCACATCTATATCCATATATATATTACTGGAGAACACGTGGATAATCAGCGGCACACGCGCTATAGAACTCATACAACTTTGTTTGGGTTATGAAATCCATCGAAAAGCTTTCCGACTTGCAAAAATCGTAGCTACATCCGAAGAGAGCGAGTGCGAAAGCTTATCAGCGAACTTAAACGTTATCAATTGATTTGAGTTTACCTTGCGATCTAGTCTAAAAATATAGCCGCACTTTATTTTGCTTGCTTTACATGGCTCGCATTTATTTTCACTTCCTGTTGTAAAAAATACGCAGAATATATTCTGATGTTTCTTTCATATCAAAAGCTCTGCCATATCTTATCATTTAGCATATTCTTTTTCCGCCATACGATAAATTTTGTCACTTTTTGTCTCTTTTTGGCAACAGCGAATGAAGAGTAGCTCCAGGTTAGAGCTAGCTCCAAGGGAAACTTCACTCCAACTCCTAGGTAATGCGTGGGTGGGTTTGTTTACGTTTTATTGGGTTTGTGGGTCAAAGTTAATGTTCATTTGTGGATGAATCGAGTGAACTTCATGCTGCCCACGATCGCAGTTACGAATTTCTATAAGTATGCATGTGTAAGCTATGTACACAGGTATGTACATTCGTACATGCGAGGCAGCTGAGTGTTAATACCGATGTTAAATATTTGAGTTTGATTTTATCTTATCGCCATTGGCTCTCACATTTTTGCCGTGTTTGTTCTCGATGGGTTTTCGGGTGATATCACCCCTCTCAACTCTCAAGACCCTCTCGCTTCGAAAGCCCTTTGGTTTTCCTGCCCAAGAACACGGTGTTTGGTCGTAATTGGATGGGTTTTCATTTTCCTATGAGGAGCAGAGTTAAGGGGCATAACATCATCATTATCTCACCAGCCAAATATTCGCACTCGCACACCCGAAACGTTTCTTTAATAGTTTAAAATTGAATGCCAGCTGAAATTTGGGGGTTTGCTCACCTCTTGACCGCGCATTACGTTATAGACCGCATGATACCCTATAAACTCTAAGATATCTTGAAGTTCCTATCTGTAGATGGTTCTTTACAATAATTGTAAATATTATTTAGTTTAAACTCTCTTCAAGAGTTTCCACTAAGAAACTGATCGAATTAGGATCAAATTTCGAATAAATATTAATCATATTTTGTGGCTTCTCTTTGTCTATATAACCCTTAGTTCCTAGGTATCCAGCTGATCGAAAAAGTATCCGTCTGTTTATGGAAAACGGATAAAAAGGCGGCTACATTTCCCTGCCGACAGCTTATTGTTTATCTCACCCGACGACCCACCTGCCGAAGCGACGCCGCCGATCCTCTCCAGCTCTTGTATACGTCAATCGATCGGAAGTGTCCAACGCCCCGAAACTGGCAAACTGGCAAAAAAAACTGATAAAAGGTGTGAGAAGTCTGAATGAATTTCTGTTTTGGCAATGGCCAAAATCTTAATTGCAAATCGAGCCAGCCTTGGCGATTTTTGGGAGAAGTGAACGCCACCAAGGGCTGACGTCAGAGAGTGGGACATATCGAAACTATGGAATCGTGGGCGATCGTCGGCTATAGAGTTGCATATAATATTTACAGTCGGTGGATTGATCAGAAAGCTGAAAGCTGAGCTAATAGATTGGTTTGAGTTTCGCGGCGCCTTGTTCTACCGCTCTGTTTGTCTCAAATTATTGTTTGGCCAACAGTCTATTTGCCAACTAATTATATTACATATTCAGGCGATTCCAGTGAAAAGCCCTTGACTTGGTCGAGGGCCAGTGCGTCATGCAGTTCATTGATTTGGCTGCCGTGTGAACGATGGAAACACTTGACGAAAATTGACTCTGTTCTCGATTAGATAGTCGTGATATTTATTAATAACATTAGCCCTCTCGCCTGACAAATATATCACTTCTCACCTCCGCCAGCCGGCCAATCAGCTGGCAACTGGCGGTTAGTTATGCAATTTCCAGAAGCACGGGGAGATTGTTTATTTGTTTGGTTGGAGTAATAGAGTACCTCAAGGTTAAGGCGTTGGCTTTCCTGTGAAAGTATTCCTGCAGCTGAATCGAATTCCAAGATCTCAAGCTCCAAGTTTGTGCCACATGGGTAACACTGTGTTTTCCTCGGTAGAAGTTGACTTAATTGATTAGAGCACCTGACTAATTTCGTTATTGGCCTGGCTTTGCGTAGCGACAGCTCTGACAATGCGATTAAAGTTAATTTTTTGGGTAAATATTGATACGATATCTTCATTGTACGGCTGTATGCACTAACGATTAATTATGGAACGGCTGCAGAGGTTATATAACCTATAGAAGTGGAAAATTTAATATTCCTTGGATGAGAAATCTCATCAAATGCAAACTAATGCCACCCATTTGCCCGCCTGACCCACATTAATGAGATATATGGACTCCGTGGCGGGGTTTCGTTTTCATTGACTCACTGACTGAGTGACTGAGTGACTGACTAGGCGAAGTGTCCCACAATGGAGCCTCGATCGAGTGGCTCTAGCTTCTCTGGGCAGGCAAATGAGCTGCAATGAACCGGAAATTCACAATTAACCGTCAATCCCCCCCCCCACTCGAGCCGTGTTTCATAACCAACTGCATCTGCATTTGGAGTCGACTCCGCCGCATCTAAACGGGGGTGCAGTATTCGACTTCGAGTCGGAATCCAAATCAAAATCGTATATGGAAATCGCACGTTCCGGCTCATTGATCGCTGGACATTTATTTTCAGCCTAGGTGTAATTTTCAGATGCCTTCTTTGGCCCTCAACAAATTGGATAAACAATGTCTAAAAGCACACTTATGTACGAGTATATATATATATATATATATAGTATAGTGAGGCGACTGAGCATTTTAATTGCTTCTACGTGTTGTTCTACAAAGGCTTGTTCGGTTGCTGGCCAAAAATTATATGATTATATTTTGATCTGGCGGCAACGTGATCACCCTTTCGGCTCGGGTTTGGATCAAACTGGGCGCCTTTATTTGGGGTCGCGGCGATTACAGTTACGCTGACTGGGAGGGTTCATTGGAACCCTGCCCCTTCCACAGCATAACTTTATGATATCATGTAAATGCTGTTGGGCTTAAATATAGATAACTGTAGTTTCACTTTTTCGGCTCGGCCCATTCCTAGAATGGAATGGGAACGGGATTGGATGAGTACTGCGGCTCTGGTACGTGACTGACGAATTGGTCATTCGATAGCTTCTCGATTCGAGTGGAGCAAGTGAGTTGGAGAGTTGGGCAGGGGGATAAGTGAGGTTTTTATTAATTTTTACTAATATTAACTTAAACTTTTTGATGAGAAGAAAAGTAGTTACATAGCATAGTAAAATCTTATCTAAATAATAAAGTAATCTCCAAACTTTTAACTTCAAATGGCTAATTAAGCGCAGAAAAACATTTTGCAGTCTCCACGAAATCTCTCATAATAAAAGCCCCCAATCTAAGCCTCCTGGATGGTTTGACAAATGCGCATAACCCTGATTCATTACGCAAAGACTCTCTCCCGGCTTAGTCATGCTGTTGCCTCGATAAACGATGAAGATTTTTCAGACTAAGTTCGCCGTTGCAAGTGCAATGGCAAATGGCATTCGCAGGTGGTCGCTAATCAACGTAATCAACTTGCAACAAGCTCGTTAGGCTTCAGCTTCAGCTTCGACTTCAACTTCATGGTAATCAGGCCACCAAGTTCTATGCAACTTGAGAGAGGGAAGCTGGGAAGGTGGAAGATGGATGCGGTGGGATCCAGGGAAGGCCGCTCTAGCCAAATTGGTCGCGGTGCTCCCTCTCGATTGGTGCACGAAAACAAAAACTTGACATTTATCTTAAATTTATTCAATTTTTATATTTATTATACTTAAGATTAGTTTTTGATATACTTCCTTTTAAAGTTATTTTACCAATTTCAAAGAACAAACTTCATTTCATGATTTTCTCTACATTACCTTTCTATAATGTCTAAAGTTCTGAAAGCAATATTTTTCCCTCTGTGTAAGACAGGTTTTGTGTTGACTGTCCATTCATTGTCTAGCCAGCTAGCCTGACTTTACCGTTGCAGCGACTCGAGCGTTTAGCTGGGTCAAGGTCACCTCTAAAGACTTGAGTTCCTGGCCTATTCGCTGGCAGAATCCAGCCTAAGGATCGCTGTCATTGTGGGCCTCCATCGCAACGGCAATCTTCTTGCTATGCCAGGCACGCACACATCAAATGGTCCCCATTCAACGCCATCAGCATCTGGTCTTCCCATCCATCCGCGGCGGTCCTCCGATGCTCCAATCCTCCCATGCTGCAAAGATCGATCAGCGCCCAAGTGGCGGCAGTTGCTGCTTTTGGTGCTGGCATTGCAAACTGCGTTCCTCATTTCGATTTCGATTTGCTTCGATATTATTCAAGCCCAAAACAGTGGCGGAATCGAAAGGGGATTTAAAGTATGACTTTTGAAATGAATATAAAAGAATAGTTATGGTATAGTACATCCTTGGACTTATTAATATTTTTGAATAAGCTAATACTTGTAATTAATATCTGAAATACCTTCAAAGGCCCAGCTGGTTATCCCTTTAAATCCCCACTTTCACCACGCTCTTCTTGCCACAAAAAACAGCGACGACCATTGAACACAAAGCCGAGATTTTTCACAAGAAAATATTCATGTGAAGGCGAAAACTGCGCAGGCGCATGTTTTGTCAACTGGCGATCGGCTGACAAAAAGACAAAAAGCCAAAAAGACAGTCGGACATTCAGAGGCTAAGGCTGGAAACTCTGACGTTTGCGTGACAGCGGCAACTGCAACAGCAACAACTACAAATGCCACATTCAACTGCTACAATAACTGCATCCAGACGCTGTTTTGACCAGTTACCAATTTTGGCAGCAAGACTTTCATTTATTCGCGATACGATTTTGGCAGTTTGGGATCGCTCGTACAGAAGGGTACATCTACTCAAGGCACAAAATGGGAACTCAGCCTTCGGGTTTTATTATATTGTTTAAAACTTTGTCTATTTTTGTGTCTATCATTTTGCTGTTCTAAATTTAAGAAAAGTTTAATTAGTTTATTATTCTTTCAACAACTTCTTCTTATTTGGCAAAGGTTATTCAAAAACCTAAGAACTACGATCACGTACACATTTAAACCTTAACAGCTTTGTACCCAAAAGCAGCGCTAACTCATCTATCGCATAACTATTATTGCTATATTTTGCAATTCCCTTTCCAAAGGGATATAATGTTATGAATGTAATGCTTTTGATTTTAATGAAAGAGTATTATTTACATCAAATAAGCAAATGCTTTTCAATAATAGCTTGAGCAATAAATACTGAAAGTTAAATATTAAGTCTAACAATATTGCTTTTACCCACTAAAAATGGAGACAGCTTATTTGTAAAATTAACTTCATTAACAGCGCCTTTTAGGTATGCAACAATAATATATGTGTAAACATGACGTTCTGCAATCGTGCCGTACAAACGATTTATCGAAAACATAAACAGCGACACCTACCGCTTTTTTATATAACTCAAATATACTTTTCTGCACCATTTCTACATCCTACGCTTGTCAAATTAGCAACTTCACAAACCCTAATTAAAAATGCATCGATATATCATTTTATTGAACCAGAGGTTTTGAACCATGAGTTTTTATTTAAAAAAATTAAATTTCTCAAATTTGAAGGGAAGAATTTAGCTAGATACAATATATCCCTAAGCAGAGACATTCCAGTCATATGCTATTCAATATGAGTATTCATACTCGACTTAAAACGATAAGAACTATTTGAATCGATGTTCCCCAACAATATACCGATCGACCTATCGATAGTGGAATCGATTTCGCTTCCACCGCCATTCAACAAGTGCTGAACCCTCAGTTGAGTTTCGAACTTCAACAGGTGTGAAAACGCGCTAGAGTAGAAAGCGATCCTACGATCAGTCGATTCGGTAAAGCAAAACAAGACAGCGGAATTAACCGACGAGCACGTGATCAGCGTCTCAAGTCGTAAATAACTAACAGTGCCGGAAGGAAACTTCATTTACCATCGTAGTGCCACTCCACTAAAGTTTGTGTGTTTCTTCCAGCGATTAAAAACCAATTCTTGGATTACTCCGCTTCACTTAGAAACCAGTTGTCTGCAAGCAGACCGCTTATAAGGTGAGTTTCCTTGGGATTTATTTTCGATCGGGGATATGGAACATATCGTACCGTAGCTCTAGTTTGTTAGTCGGAGTTTTTGAGTTTTTGGAACCTGAGGGAATTGACTGGAGGAAAAGTGCAGTGCAAGCGAGGGTTGGGATTTCGTCATTTGAAAGAGTGAGTGGGAGTGGGATAAAGCTAGTGGAACCTCTTAGCCACTGCAGTTGTCTCGCTCTCTGAGCGTATCTTTTCTACATGCTTGCAATGGTGTGCGTGAGTGTATCTCCTACCTGTGAATGTATATCGTTACCTGCGGTATCTCCAAAACATACCGAAACTCACACACTCTCATTTCGACTGCAGCTGCTCTTGTGTGTGTGTCTTGTGAGCGTATTGGTGCCGTGGTGACATATAAATTCAAACCTGAGTCGCAATTATCTCTATAAATTCTGCAAGCAAAGCGCTCATAATTTTCGGTCGCCTACTACATAGCTTATCATTTGAGCCAAATAGGTTTCTAGCCCAATTAGTACTGGAAAAAACGAAGCGTTTAAGCCAATTTAATGCAAATGCACTGGGAAAGCGAAACAGTCAGGGGAAAAAACTCGCAAGAGACAACGCGTTTGCTTTCCACAAAAACCGAAACAGCAACAACAACAAAAGTCACCAGGTAGATAAGATTACACCTGTATATGTTTGTGTGTGTGTGTAAGCATTTGTAGTGTATGTAAGTGATCAGGGGAAAAACGAGAGGGAAAGGGAAAGGGGTGAACAAACCGGTAATGCATTTTACTCAAAAAAGAAGTCACCTTCATAACAAACTCAACGCTCTGCTGCAAAAACACAACACGCTCAACTGTCACCGTCAGAGAGATAAATCTATATAGTTTAGGTCCGACCATGATCGTTGTTTGCATATACCACTTACTATATATATACATGTGGAAGATGGGCAAACAGAGTATTGGAAAAGCTGAGCCCAGCTCAGACCCACTTTTTGGTTTACAGCTCCAAAGGTCATAGTGTATATATTATAGTATTGTAGCATACACTCCACTCGTGCTTAATCGACTTCGAGAGCTTCCTGTAGTATCAGTCAATTAATCAAATAGCAAAACTTCGATAACAGCCACGAAAAGTTCTCCAAAAATAAATTATTTATTTCTATGCATAATTCAGAACCAGTTCCAATAGATTTTCAATTTTTATGATCGCCGTTTTTATAACCATCTCCGTTGGCTGTCGCCAGCACAAAGCTGGAATTTAAATGAAATAAATGTACATCGTACACAAATAATTTACCGAGATCTGGGCTATAAACACACGTTCATTTGGTTTTGATTTTGAGGTGTGACTCGGTTTTCCAGACGTAATCACCCAGTTCAGAGGAGTGCACTTTGAATTCCTGGAAAACGATTTAGTATGCAAATTTTCGCAACGGCTCGGCTTGGATTGAATTGTTCTTGGGCAGGGCATTGCAGTCGATCCACACGACAGGATCACCAACAGATAGAGTGTCAAGCTGTCGCCAGTCGGCTGATGAATTGGAGGAGTTGGGGTGGCATTATCTAATCGCTACATAAGCCGGTCCCACATAGGAACCTCCGTACCACCTATTTATTCAGATAAAGCGCCCAAAGCAAACACGGGCCAGTTGAGACTTTGACTCGCTCCACTGAGAGTTAATGAGGTCACAGCACTCGCTCACTCTCCTCTCTAGCTGTTTCTGGTTTCATGGCTAGTAATTGGCCGGAGTACGAGTTTATTTTTTGGTTTCGACGTAGAGCTACGACTTTGCCGTGGAGGGCGAATTATGAATACTTAAACACATCTTTTATGGACTGGGCAGACGGAGATGGAGCTGGGCTTAAGTGCCCAGCCAAACATTTGCCAACAAGCAGCTCGGATCGAGTCTTTGTGATCATCTGGGTGTGTGGGTAAACTTGGTTTAGAGCCGTGTCTTACACAGAACTTAAGTGTCGGCACATGCGGCGTATGCGCAATATGTCTGCTTTGCTCTGGCTCACTTAGAAGTTTTTATTTGGCACATGATTGCCATACGAAAACAGAGAAAAGTAAGCTATTTTGAGTGATTTAACGATCCAGGTTGTTTTGTTTTAACAGCTTGGCCAACAATGATGTCATATGAATGGGATTTGAATGGCTGCGAGGGAAAGCCAAATGCAATTCTCTCTGGCTGCTTTTTTCACTGCTCAATTGAGCATGACGCCCGCTTCGCATATTTCGCACCCACATTGCGTTGACATTTTACCTTAACCCTGAATCTAATCGATCAAGCCTGACAGTCAGACAAAGTGGCATTAGCATTAATCAGTTTCGGCCATAAACCATTAGTCATCAATGGTCCCACCACAAAACCAGCTGGCGAATGAGGAAATGTTTTGGCCCTATTCTCGGCTGCAACTTTCTCCTCTCTTTTGCAATTGTACTTTTCGAGCTCAACAGTTGGGCGTTGGATACTAAACTGCTTGCCGGGATTGCCTTGATTTGCTTTGGTCTGACCATAACTCAAGATCTCCAGTTTAAGCCGATTTCACAGCCTCAAAGTTTGGGTTCAGGGTCTCAGTTTGGGCTTGGATCGGCGCACATTGCCGGGCTAATGAAATGCAGAGACACTTGGCTGGAAGTGACTCAGAGGAGTAAGCTTACGTGCTATGCAAGTCGTTTGGCAGCTTGGAATGCGGCCTGACACATGGAACGTGGCCAACTACGTTGGTAGAGGCCCACTTGCAGTCTTTCCAACCCTTAATTTGCCCGATAAATTGTTGGGGTAACACGCCCTACACAAGTTACTAAATACATAAGAATTTTTCAAAGATATCTTCTCATAAAGCCTATATTTATAGCGATGAATTCCAAGAACTGGGATTATCAACAAGTATATTTTTATACATTTTATTGCTTTGAATTACTCAACTTAAAATTTTGGTTCAAAACTTTAATGGTATATCTCGAAATCGGGTGAAGTATCCAGCCATGCAGTTATGAAACAATCCTTTTAGGACTCTCCGCGCAATCTTGTCCTCAAGGCTCTTGAATCCAGCAACAAAAACCTTTGTTAATACCTTTAAGTTAAGAGGTAATAAAAGCTGATTGCAGGCCTTTTGACAGCCGAGATCAGTGCCGTTTCATACTCAGAGTGAGGGGCTTACCACTCGACACTTAATAAATATATAGATGGCTCTACGGGTTGACAATTCCTGGCATTCGTTTCTAGAAACGCTCGTTCGACCGATAACCAATACGTGATGGCGAAACGCCTTTGTTATTGAAAACAAAGCCTCGTTCGAGTGCAAAGTTTAGTGCAAAAAGGTCGGAAAAGGTAGTTTTTTGTTTTGTTTTCGAAAAATCACACTTGGGTGGTTAAACAAATCAGGTTTCCGTCGGCTAAGCACAATGAAAAGCGCTTTTCAGCTGGGGGCAGAAAAGTCGTGCCACAGCCAGGCTTCTAGAGTCGGGTTTTCCAGCACTCTAAAAGTCGGAAGCTGGGAACGAAAGCCGCAACCCGATACAGATATCACTAATGAACCGCCCCCGCCCGGTGAAAGCCGGTTTCTCATTTGCACCGCCTCCTTAAGTTCTTAATTTATGCCCCGCTTCCTGCTTCAACATCGGGGCTATATATACGATATACATATTCGATCCAAACAAAGGGCAATTGCAGGCGAGGAAGCAGACATAAATATCTGATTCGAATGGCTGAAATCAATTTACGGCAGTTTTAATAACTGAACTCCCAAGCGCGGACTTCCCTCAGACACCAGCAAATGCACTTTATCGCCGAAATACTCAGCCGGCAAGTTGAAATTTTAATTCCGATCGATCAAGCGGTATTATTTATCTTGAGAAGGTCTTAGTGGTTTCGTTTTTTATGAAGTTGCAGCTGCTGCGAAATTGTGCGAATTGCCCTGACAACAACAAGAAATTCTATTCGTATGCTGACTGGGCGAATACACTTCAATGACCTTCTTAGATTAATTTTATAGTTTCCTATAAGCTAAAAGCCTTTTTAATTGATTGTGCCACATGTCAAATACTATTATAATCGTAATATAAATGGTATTATATATAGACAAGACATTACAGAGTGTCGTTGCGATTAGACTGTTTACATAAACCTTAATGACTTTATTTTGATTGCAATAGCGCAAATTGTTCGCAGAGAGTTCAAGCAACTTGAACGTGACACAATCGGTTGTTACATAGAAATTCCCTTTGAAAATTTTTCAGTTTGAGCGAATTGAAATGGTTTTTAGCAAGAATTTTTCGTAACTCGTAAAGTCATCTGCCTGACTTTTGGCTGCCACCGGGCTAACTTGGCTCACACATCTGCTGCGAGTGGCAATTTCCAAACGAAAACCAGTCTGGCCATCTTTCTGAGCCAACAGTTTCCCCTTTTTTTTTTCATTACTCCGCCTGACTGAGTGCTGGTGTGTGTGGTCAAATGTCGGCATTTTTTATACTTTTGTGTGTTTATTTTTTATGTGCACGCCTTGGGCAATTTCGTCCATTGTACTGCTTGGCTGCAAAAAATTAACGTTGCAGAAATTATATTCCGAAATGGCGTCAACCGAATAGGACACAAAAAAAAGGCAACTCTAGTGTAGAGTTGGAATTTGATCTCTGGGCAGTTGGCCAGTGGGGAATTTTTTCGGAGCCGAAATTATGAGCGTATATCGTAAAAATCACCAACAAACTCGTGATGCTAATGAATCGATCAACAAATTTGACGGAGTCGTGATCCGCAAATTATTGGCCGGATGGAATCGGTTTGAGCCACCCTAATGAAGGCATCAGCTGAGGTATTTCCGTTCAGCCCGTCTCCGGCTTCCCATGGATCGATATCCTTAAAAGGATCGACAGATGAGTTCCCGAAAAAAATGCAATATTCTACCTACACGTCCGTTCCTCTCGTTTCACTTCCTGTTACCGCCAGCTATTTTTACCCAGACAGCTCAATCGTTATCCGCCCACGCACACAGATTCAGACCGTATAGCATGAATGTATTACTTTGGGTATTTCTGGGTATTTGCCACAGAGACACTTTTGTTTTGATCTTAAGTCGGAGTCAAGGCGAAACTACCTGGGTTTTCGATATCGCACGGCGAGGTTCATTAGCTGACCTTGCTGATCCCGTTGCTCTCGCTCCAGAGGAATGCTGTGCATTCCAGTCTTTTTCGGGAATATAATTTATAACATTATGTGGCCAGGGGTCGCACCCAGTTTCCAATTTCCGATCGGCGATTCACGATCGACGATCGACGATCGACGCATCCAAGCACAATTTGATAACCAGCCCCCATCTGCTCTTTAAATCCACATGACATTTCTGTGTAACTTGATACAGAAATGTGGGCTGTAGGCTCTCATGGGAAGCGTTCATAATTCTAATCTGTTGACAAAACCGGACACATGTTAACCGCCTGTGAACTAGTTGATAAATTCCGAAAAACAATCGATGAAAACAAAATAAAGTTTATCAATAAATTGAATATAACCTTACGTTATAACAAATCTTGGTTAACATCACGATTTGAAATCTGTTTGTTATGCGATACTCTGACGAAGACTGCCTTTAAAGTTTAAACAAAACGCTCCAATATGTTTCCGTATCGGGTTTCGTTGAGTACAGGGCCATTAAGTATAACAGGGCAAGATCGGCGTTTATCTCGATCGAATGTCAAAGTGTTCTAGAAACAGTTTCAGGAAAGCATTTCCCCATTATAGCTGCACGTTAATTAGATGCACGACACTACAATGCACTCAGATATATAAATCGGATCTATTGGTGGGGGAGATCAATCGGTGGATCGATGGGGGAGGGGACCGGGATCGGTTGTATCCCAACTAGCGCTAATCTTTACAGCTGTAGATAGCCACGGCAATATGATGAATTGGCTGACTCACAAATTTCCGAGTGGAAAAACGTATTTGCATACATGTACAAGTATGGCCAGAGCCAGTGCCAGTGCCAGTTACCGGTTTCTCTCTAAACTTGAACGGAGACTCTCGTATAGCCCAGTTCATGCGGACATCTGTGTATACATATATCGCTGCAATGACAGAAATGGAATTAATTATGGTCGGAGTGTCGGCGGCGCCTTGGTAAAAAGTTAAATCCACACACACAGCCCCAGCCAGAGCCACAGTCAAAGGCAATTCAAAGCGAGCCAAAAAGCGCTCACAACATCTTTCGTGACTCGATGAAATGTGTTAGCCGAAAGACCTAAACACGTTTAATGCGGTCTGCAGTCTCGACACTGCAGTTTTCCCTATGGGCCACCATGGGATCGCGGCAAACTCCACCGCCAGAGTCAACTTGACACCCACTCACAAGTCGAAGCTGGCTAAGCGGTTTTTGTGGGGTCTAATGAAATGCTCTAACATACGATATGCATCCACGTACATACATACTCGTGTATTCCCTAACATATTGCATATTGGCTGGATAAATGCGATCTATTCTGGTCGCGTTAACTGCGCATTTTGCATTTAGCTGGCAGTCTCATATCTCGGGCGATCGCGGGTCGTTTGCCTGGTTACAAAAATTAATACCTAAAGCTCTTTGTTTACCACTCGGCGAGCCACGGTCTCGAATTATGTGTTTGTTTTGCCATGAAAACGAAGGTAAACATAGGCGGGCTTTTCAGTAGGGGCATCTGCGATGGAATCCGCATCGAATGGGTGGAAAAGCATTCCAAACTCCAGTTGCGTAAGAGACCTGGAAAGTCGTGCTCTCAGTCTGGTTTTCAAAGATTTCTTAGAATCAGCGAGCTGGCAAACAAGTTCTTAATTGGCGTCAAGGAACGCTCCGTGGGGATTCCCCTGCTCGAATCGATTCAGAAGCCATGCCTGATTACTTAATAACTTTGTTAGGGTGTGCAAACCAGTCGACTATAATCAAAGGGCAAATAAACCGAAACCGAAAACCAAATAAATAAGCCACAAGCTCCAGCTGACGACAGACAAACTCGAATTGAGATTGAGAGTCAGCGTTTCTGTATCTGATCGAGTGAGGCAACCACTTTCCGTATCTGCATTGCTAATCGGTGGAATACACTTTTCGGAAAGGGAAGTACTTGGCGGATATTGTCGAAAGTGGCAACTGCTTTCGCCCAATTCTGAGTAACAAATTGAAAATAATCATTGGCGTTTGTTTATCAGGCGACTACGAAACAATTGCCATTAAACGATAAGCAAACATTTGGAAATTCGTGGATTCGGCTTGGTGTACTGACTAAATTAGCATGGCCAATGATGTCAACTCTCTGGGTGCCAAGGTGCTAATCAGGGGAGTTGACATGGCTCACCATTTCGCCATGAAGATCAGCGATTTTGGAGGAAATGGGTGATACAACGTGCGTATTCTGAGGCCAGCCATGAGTACGGCCACTTCCCCAGAATGTTGTTGATTCAATAAACTTATATCTGCTTATCTGGCTCCAACAATTAGCGATAAGATATGGCTCCGTTGGGTGTGAGTCGTCTGTTTTTCTGTTTCTGTTTCTTGGAAGTGGCCATAACTGTACAACTCTATTTCTCTTCGCTTGGTCCATTTCAGTTTGCCCATCTACCGGAAAATGGGTCGCCAGTCGACTTGCAGGCTGGTCCTGCTGCTGGCTTTCAGCGTGGCACTAATCCACGCCAGCCACTCAAACCCCACCGCGAGCCCTAAGATTCACTACATCGGCGATGATCTGACGGAAAACGAGCTGAGTTCCGGTGAAGACCAGAGCACTGTCGAGATCCTGCCCAAAATCTCCACGCCCAAAGTTAAGGAACTTCCCGTGGAGGTGACCACCAAGAGCCCAGAGAAAAAACCTACTCCCCCAGCCCCTGCGAAGTCTCTTAGCGCGGATTCCCTGATGGATCTGCTGGAGGCTGCCAGGCACAGCCAGGCGCTAGCTGAGGATCCCCACTTTAACAAGATGATCAACGCCACAGTCACCAATGGAGATAAGAATTCCACCGAAAATGAAGATAGTGAATACTATAGCTACGACGATGACTACAACTATTTCGACGACGAAACGGATACGACTCCATCGAGTCCCAAGAAGGCCAAGAGCAACCCCAAGCTACAGCCCATCGTGGAAACCACTTCCTCGAAGCCTAAGGTATGCTCAATGATTCATGTCTAAACCAAGGTTTATAATTTTAATAATCCAACTTCGTTTTATAGAGCAAGACCGCCGATCAAAAGACTAAAGAAAGTACTAATGACATCGATAGCGACTCGCAATATGATTACGACGAGGACTTAGATGAAGATGAGGACGATGAAGACGATGATGCTTCTGACGATCCCGTGACCGACGAAGAGGAAGTGACATTTAGCGAGAACGTGCCCTGCCCACGATTCTGCCAATGTGCCCGCAATGTCAACAGCTATCTGGTGGCCACCTGCAGCAGGTCTGTAAATGGGAACATCTTAGCTCTGAATTCTGATTAATAATATAAAAATTATGCAGGCTGGACATGGGCATCCAGAAGTTCGGCTCGGATATTACGGACTTGGTGGTGACCAACGTGGGTCCTAAATATCCCATCCTGATGGGTCCCAATTTCTTCCTGAATCTGGGACTTAAGAACGTAAACTCGATCAAGATTGCCAACTGCACTTTGGAGTACCTGCATGCCGATGCTTTCCATGGACTCAACGAACTGTATGCTGTTAATTTGACGGATGTTGGCTTGGCCATCATCAATCCGGATACCTTTGTTGAAAACAAGAAGATGCGCATGCTGACCATTTCTGGAAATGACCTGAGCGTGATGTCCAGTCTCCACTACCTGTTGAAGGTGGGTTTTCTTAAAAAGTTGACCTCTGATAATTTTCTAATATATCTGCATTCTGTAGTCTTCCAGCATTGAAGAGTTGGACTTCTCACGCAACAACCTCATGGAGTTGAACCCCAAGGCATTCAGCCAGCTCTCCAATGTCGTCTACATCAATCTGAGCCAAAACAGTCTGAAGAAACTGCCCGAAAAGGCGTTCGAGAAGGTTACCCTTCTGGAGGAATTGGACCTGTCTTACAACTCACTGACTGAGCTGCCTCGTGACATCTTCAACGGCACCACCCTGTCCATACTCCACCTCAAGTACAACACCTTCACTGGAGACTTGCACTTCGGCAACAAGGATCTGCAGCAGCTGGACTTGAGCTTCAACTCCATTGTCCAGGTCCACCACAGCATGTTTGACAAGATGCCTGGATTAACCAACCTGAACCTCAAGGGCAACGGCATCAAAAAGATCCAACCTGACTCATTCCTTACCCTGAAGAACCTGCGTCACATCGATCTTTCGATCAACGAACTGGACCAGATCTCTGGAATGCTGTTCTTCAAGAACTCCGAACTGGATGTGATCCGATTGAATGATAATCCTCGCCTGAGCCAACTGCCCACCGATGGCTTCTTGAGCTACAGCGGAGAGTTTACTGTCTACTACCTGGATATTTCCAACTGTGCTATCGGTCCTCTGGGTCACAAGGCCTTCTCCACCATGCCCCATCTGACCACCTTGAAGTTGGCCTGGAACAACATTAACCACCTGCCACGTGAGATCTTCACTGGGCTGCACAAGCTGATTGACTTGGATCTGAGCAACAATCTGATACCCAAAATTGACGATCTGATATTCATGGACAACGGAGAGCTGACTAAGCTTAGTCTGGCTGGTAACCCCATTAGCCGCTTGTCAGTCCGTTTGTTCCTGCCGCTGCATCAACTTCGCTCTCTGGATGTAAACGACTGTGAGCTTACCACCCTGCTCTCCGATCGCGAATTGGGAATGGGTTACAAGATCTTCGACAGCCTGCGCAGCTTCAACGTCTCCGGAAATCTGATCAAGAAGATCTCCTCAGAGGATGTGAAGAGCTTCAAGAACCTTCGGTCCTTGGATATCACTAACAACCCGCTGAAGTGCACCCGCGATTTCCAGGACTTCATCAGCTATGTAACTCTGCAAATGCAGATGACTCCCAGACGTTTACCTGTTTTGGCCAATCTTGAGGATGATGCCACCATTGTGCAGCTGGAGTCCCAGGCACAGGCCGGTTGGGCCACGTTAGCTCACGAGGTGTGCAAGCATGCCGAGGGATCAGATCTTCTCGATGAGAAGAAGGCCGACAGCGCTGAGGCCAAGCTGGAGAAACGTCTGAAGGAAAGCGAAAAGAAGTTGGACGAGGACGAAGAGAAGCTATTGAGTGTCCTGGACAAGAGTGTGCTGGACAAGAGCAGGCTGAGCAGCATGCAGAAGATCATGAAGGGATCGATCAATGCTGAAACCGAGAAACCAGAGGAAGATAGTGCCGAGGAGAATCTGAACAACGGAGGTGAGGATAAGGAGGAGGACAGCAGTGATTATGACAGCGAGGAGGACGATGAAGATGATGAGGATGATGATGATGACAACGACGATGATCGCTTCGAGGAGGCTAAGAAGAATGCCAAGGCCAAGAGCGAGTCTGACAAGAACTTTAACGCATTTGTGAACAAGGAAGTGAAGCCCGCACTGAAAGACGAAGGTGTGCAGGCGGAGGATGTGGACATGTCCGAGGAGACGCGCGATAGGTTCCTGCTAGGTAAGTTATACACTGACTTGATTGAAAGATGAAATAATCTATGCTTTCCCACTTCAGAGAAACTCGGCTTCGACAGCGAAAGCGAGGAATCAGATGAGTACACTGAGAAGATGATCTTCCACGGCCAAATGTCCTACGACCTGGTTGTCCCATTGATTATCGTGTCGTTCTGCCTTCTGATGATCGTGCTGTCCATCGCCCGTGTGATCTACGTGGTGTTGCGCAAGCGCGGCGAGCGCTATCGTATGGCCCTGCTGGCCTCCAAGAACTCGTTCGTGTACCAGAAGTTGAGCGAGGACATCGTGAAGCCCACCAGCAAGGAGCAGAAGCAGCCGAAGCACCTGAAGCAGCCCAAGGTGCACCGATATGCGCCCATCAACCAGGTCTAAGTCCACCTAGAATCAGCAGTTCTGGACCGGACTTCGCGGAAGTCGAACGAGTTGCGCTGTTTTTCTAATTTATAAGTTTATTGATAGTTGAAAAAGTGGAAAATCACATCAGACAACTGACTACACACAAGCACACGAATGATAAGAAACAGGAGGAGGAGCAGTAGCTGGCAGTTAAAAGTATTAGCGAAAGTGCGAGGAAACAAAGCAACAACTGAGAAATACTTGAATCCAAATACATAAGAGAGAGAGAGTGAAGAAATCTATAAAAAATATCCTTTATCCCCGAAGTATCCTATCCCGCCCAATCCTGTCAATACCAGTCAAAATGTGGGTTTCAGAAAACGCGTTTGATTAGCAACCGTTTCGAAAGCAACGGACTTGACCCTTATCGAACCACTGCCCCACAAACCATATCCAATATATCCGCATCCATACTTATTAGAATTTCGGGAACATCTTGAAGATTTAGTGCCATTTTGCCAAAATTCAAACCGAGCGAAAATTACTTAAAAACATTAGGGTTTCTGAACTGAGTGTCGAGTCAGGAATGAGAAACGATAAGCGTAGAGCAGAAATTAGTAAGGGCTTTAGATCCGGGTCTGTGTAGCAAACGGTTAGAAGACTCCCTAGAATGACGTCTGATTTTTAATCTGATCAAGAGATGAGAGAAATAATTAATGCATAAACTATGTTAAGTCTTTTTTATTACCTTTTTTCCAATCGAAATCAAGCAACCGCTTGACTTATTCGACTTTGAAACCAATTCCGAAAACAATAAATTATTTTAACCAAACCGACGTAATCTTTACAATGCATACTTAATAGACATACATACGTACTTTAAACAATAACATGCCTTTCAATAAAATTGAATATATTTTATCTGCGTTCAATAAAAGACTCAACTGGGCCGACATCGCCTTCCTCCTTTACGGTTAGGGTTAAATTTCGATTGAAACTGAGAGCCAAGTCCTTGTCTTCCTGATCTCGCCTTAATTCATCTCTAATTTGACGCCACATCTTTTCAAATCCACTATCGAACGGCATGCCCAAGAATCGATTATGCCTGGATCGGAGTTCGTCACCGATCTGTTGCCACATTAGCTCGAATTCCCTGTCGTAGGGCAACCCAATAAATCTGCTCTCGCTTTTGGAGTATTCAAACATGAAGGAGTACTCATGTTTGAAGTTGCGCATTTCCAAATCCTACAACATCAATAAATTAAAGTATAAACAATCTATTATCTTATCGCTAGGCGTACGAAAACGAAAGTCGTTAAGCTTGAGGTTCCCAGCCCTTGTAGATAAACTCCGAAAGAATGTACTTTCTCTCTTAGTATTTTTACGGCCTTTAATTTCAAAATATTTCGAAATCCAGCGTTGGTCTTAACACTCCAGATCAAAAACACAAACTGAAATTTTATAAGCTGAGGACGCCAGAGCGAAGACCATTCCCACAAAGAGACCATAAAATATTGCTGAATGTACAGAAATTTCTTTGCTCCAGGAAGCATAATGTAAACAAACCCTCAAGGCAACAACTCAAATTTCCAGTAATTCTGTACAAGATTTTTAATAGTATTTTTCATATTTCTGTAAAAACAACAAGTTTAGTATGCGATCTTGAAAAATTGGAATTTTAAAAGCTTTAGTATGGTCAGTTTTAAGGCGAGGACCCGTTAGTTTTACATTTTTTTCTGAAGCGAAGAAGTTAAGCGTGGGTAAGTTCCGAAATTAATAGACCACCATGGAGTTCTCAAAAAGTTGAGAGAGGTTTTCCTGCGTCTGCGCTCTGGGTGCCAGTTTAGTGATCCTCTCCTGGGGTAGGGTTCCCTTAACCAAGTCGGGTACATCGCTGCTGGAGAAACCAAGCTCACGGAGGCCATTTTCGATGCCAGCGCGTTGCATAAAGCCGCGAACAGTGTCTGCCAAAAGACGACCGGCGTCTGATTTCTGAACGCCTCTTATTTCTGCGCCCAGCAACTGGGCAGCCTCTAAATGCCGTTCCGGACAAGCTGGAGCGGTAAACTCAAACACCGCCGGGGCACTGATCACCACCGACAAGCCATGGGGTATAAGGGCGTGATCACCAGAGTAACCCTTCGGTTTGTAGTCCCTCACATTGCCAGAAATCGGATAGGAAAGACCATGGCACAGGTGAACTCCGGCATTGCCGAAGCCCACGCCCGCCATGGTCGATGCCAGATGCATCTGGGAACGGGCCTCCAGGTTATCGGGTTGGTAAATGGCATCCACAAAGTTCTTTCGTATCGTCTCCAAAGCAAAACGAGCCCAAACATCCGAAACTGGGTTTCTTCCCTGATATGTTGGTCGCAGGCTGGGATCACTGGGTGCCGGGCCTCGCTCCCTGTAGTCCACTGCCGTGAAACTTTCCAGGGCGTGACAGAACACATCAAAGCCAGCGAAGGCCATCACTCGCTCCGGTTGGGATAAGGTGTGCAAGGGATCAATAACAGCTTAAAGTTAGAAGATATAATATTAACTGGTGAAATCTATAAATCTATCTATCTATATACTGATAAAGATCTTACCCAAAGTTGGCTTCAGAAACTTGCTGGATATCCCAGTCTTGGCGTGCAATTTCTTGTAGTCAAATATAGCCACTCCAGTGGTTTCAGAACCAGTTCCCGAGGTGGTGGGCATGGCAATCAGGGGTTTCAGTTTCACAGATATCTGAGGGCAATCAAGGCATTATTTACTTTCATTAGAATTGGTTAAATGATTCTCTACCTCCTTTCCCTTGCCGATTGGGCAGTTCACATAATCCAAAAACTCAGCCTCCCGATCACTACTAAACAGATTGGCTGCCTTGGCAGTGTCCATGGCTGATCCTCCTCCTATGGCCAGAAAGGCATCAAACTCGTTGCGACGGGCGAACTCGGCGGCATGCCACATGCTGCCATCAGTGGGTTCCACCCGAGTTTCATCATAAACTTCATAGTTAACTCCATGGCGGGCCAATGAATCCAAGGCCACCTTCACGGAAGGCAATTGTGCCACATTTTTGTCCGTTACCAAGCACACCTTCTGGGCTCCCAAATTGCGGAGATCAGCTCCAACTTCAGCACTTACTCCGGGTCCAAAACGCACAGTGGAGGCTGACATCTGGGAAATAGAAAACCGTTATGTTTCTGGATAAAAAGAAAACGGGGCTTAGTCACCTATAAAGTTAAAAAAAAAAACATTTTTATCATTATATTAATTTCTAAATGGTCACGAGATCATCAGCCTTAGGAAGGAGAAGTGAAACTCTAAAGTTTAAGGAAGAATTCTTAATTCTTAATTAAATTAATATTAAAGTATCAGTATTTCTAATCAATAGAACTGGGAAATACCTACATAATTATATTCCTACGTATTTATTTGACCATTCCCTAGTTTAGGATTTAACTAATCTTTGTTTTCATCGTGAAGTTGAACTTGCGACCGAAAAAAAATGATCTATTTAATCTGAGCTGTTCGTTTTATTAGGATAACTATCAGCTCTAGACTTTGACTATCTCTCTAAAGATGAGCATCTGCTATCTGCAGGTGTTCCAAAGTCCAAGGTATAGCCACTTACTTCGAAGGCGTATTCCATGCGACCCGTTTGGGTGGCTGTTGGGGCAGCAGATCCATAGTTATGGGAGTGGGCAGGGCACTTGCAACTATAAAATAAAAAAGTATTTTATCACTAATAAACCCTCAACAGGGTTTAGTTTGTTACTTACGAATTAGCAACGATCGTGTTGATCAAACTTAAGACATTCTTTCGCGACATTCTGTACACAAATGAAATCAGCTGGTTCGAGTCTTCGTGTGATAAGAACATAAATCGATAAGTGGCGCCAAAATTAATCGATAACTCACCCATTTGAAATTACACTTTTTTCCAGTTCTCAGAAATAACACACGAAAATGTGCGACTACCAGATGGATTACTCCTTCATCTTTGAAGACAGCTCCTGCGAAGGTGATGTCTCCATGGGTGCCTATGATAACGGATTCGAGTCCATGTGGCAACAAGTGGGCGAGGAACTGCGCAGGGAGCGGGAAATGAACGAACTCGGCCAGCTTTTCCAGCAAAACTTGAGCCTGAGTCCACCGGCCTACGCGGACCAATGGAGATTCTAACTGGGCCGCCCTAATCCAGCTTATTGTGATTTATGTATATAATAGATTAAGCAGATCATTTGCCATACCAATGGCCTTCGTTAGGGCATTTTTGATAAGTGCTCGTATTTTTTATATTTATAACTATCGACCCAGAATGGTTTTTGTATACTTAGTCTATGAAGTCATCTTTTCCGTGTTTCACAAATGTCTGATTTCGTGGAAGTTCGCGTTGTTTTGTCACTTTACCAAGTAATCAATTTGTACCAAACACATATGATTGTCCTAGATCCATAATAGGCATTAGCTTGCCTTCGATATTGTTAGCAATTTGCACTGGCTTTGAAAACATATAATGTATACAAGAGCAAAGGGGGAAGTTCGAAATTTGTCAAATCCTTACCCAAAACGATGAAAATAAATTTGCAATGTACAAAGTTTGATCGTTCGAAGACCTATTAATTTTTAATTGGAGATCCCACAGCTAGATGTGACTGCGATTCAATTGTAATGGGAACAATTGTTCGATGGAGCTAATTACCTAAATGTATGTCCGCCCATTTTTCGCGCTAGATTTACAACTCAATTTGGCTTGTTATCTGCTGGATCTCTGAACATAAACAACTGGCAATGGTAAACGATGTTGACGGCTGTTCCCCTCATTAGCATGCAGATCGTCACCGATCTGCTGGGCGCCAGACCATAAAACGAAGCATTGCCGGCGCATCGGTCAGCAGTTTGCATCCAGCTAGTGATAACTCGACATCGCGTGATGAAGTGGTTAAGTTTGTTCCTGGTTTTTGGAATCCTCGGACTCATCGGCAGCCTAGGCACTCTGACGATGGCGGAACCCAATCCGGAGCCCAAGGGTCGTCCTCATACCACCCGTCGTCCTCGGAATGACAACGACAATGATCGACGCTAGCAATCAGATAGAATGGAGGAAATTGAGTCGCCATCTAAGGCCAAGCCTCCCCGAAGATGCACCGAACCACAGAAGACACAAGAAGCACATCGACTCTCGGTGAAGGTCACATGTTTTGGAGTTGAGAAAATGCAATATGTTGAGGTCCTGCTCATCTAGATGGTGGGATCTCCTCGGACACAATAAAATCGCTTCCGTTTACAACAGAGTTTTGATCATTGGTTTATTCGATAGTTTCTTCGTCATAGGTCTAGAGTTAAATTGGTCAGCTTAATTATACCCTGACGCTTTCGGGGATTCTTCGATACTGATAGATTGGCGGATAAAGCGGGCTGACTGACTTTCTTTGGTTGTGCGAGGGTTTTGGGAGTGCGCTTGTAATTACCATATATTTGATTCTGTTTCTGATTTCATTATTTTGTTTGCTGTTTTTTGTTTTTTTTTACCATTACCATGCGATATTGAACGTTGCTTAGGGCTTACCATAATTTACAAATTGCCGCCATTCGCGGCTTATCAAATTTAATTCAATAGTTTCCGTTTCCGTTTTCATTTGCTTAGCTACGATAGTTTTCGGTTACAAAATAATTTCAATTTATCTAAATTGCAATCGCATCTCCAGTGTCTGCGTCAGCTTATAATTCAGTGAGTATATAGGAAACACTATATCTGCCTCTCAATATTAAATCGGTTTAGAGCTAACTTTACAGTTACAATTACAATTAGAATTAATCATACATATATGCGATTGATTAAACTATTCCAGTTGACTTGTGTTTCGGGGTGGAGTGTTTGTGTTTGTGTTTGATTCGATCTTCTTGCTTGCGGATAGAGCTTAGTCTACACAATAATTATGTCGTTAATTACGTTTAGCATATAGTTGGTAGTTCTATCTGATTTGATCAAATGATTACTCTCTTATTTGTATCTCTTGACGCATATGTATCTGTATCTGCTGAATGCTTGTATCTTGTAGGTGGGTCTGACACTGACGTGAATATAATTGAGTTTGCTTGTAAAATCTAAGCTCAAATGCAGCTGGGAAGAAGGTTAATTGATTCGAATTTGGAGGGGGATGGGAATGGGGAAGAAGGGACTTTCATGCGGGAGTACAGCTGAGTATCTTTGGTAGTGTTAGTTATCTTCCTATCTAGCTAGCTTTTCACTCTTATTCGGGGGACTCCGAGGAGGCCGATATGCCCCCCAGGCTACAGGCTCCCACGCTGCCCGCACTCGTCGATGCACCAATATCGCTGATGCTCTTCACACGCCGCCGACTCTGCTCATAGAGCATCTGGGGGTCTGTCAGTCCCGCATCTAGTACTCCGCCCACTGGAGGAGCGCTCACCCGATGACCAGGTGGCGGTCCATGACTGTAAATGCCGCCAGCCGAGGGAATCGGAGGTGGTGCTGTCGTTGGCGGCGGCAGGAAGTGGTGGTAATGCTGTTGCTGCTGGGGATTCGTGTGCGGATTTGGGTACTGGTGGCCTATGGTTGCGTATATTCCTCCGCCACCCTCGCTGCTGCTGTACGAAGGCGTTGGGGAGGTGGAGTTCCCAAAAGAACTGCGGTCCCCGGTGCGATGGGGTTTGCTGTTAAACCGAAAGGCTTTAGACAAGGAGCTCTGCAAAGAGAATATTATATATTAAATTTGGTACCTTTGCCAACCGAAATGGAAACTCACCTGAGATCCTTTCCATGCCGAAATCTGCTTAGAACAGGATATGAAAAGAACAAAATTGTATTGGTGTTAAATTGCTCAACTGGCGGACTTTTAATCTCCTAAAAATGCTTATAAAAACTTGGCAACTGTCGTGAAACTTATGCTGTTGTTAGGTGACTAAATTGATTGTAATTATTAACAACTCTAGTTTCCTAATTCAGATTTCCAAAATGTAAATGTAATGTGTTGGCGTGTTTAGTGACTGATGATTACCATGCTAATGTTTTGAAAATGCGTTTTCAGTAAAAATACTATGCAAAAATGTGTAAACTGAAATTACAATTCTTTTTTTATGAGCATAATCTTAAAAACAAATGTTCTTGTTACCAAGTCGGAGTCTGTAAGAAAACTCTAGAGGCCTAAAATCACTTTTAGAGGTGTCAAAAAGGAGGTTAAGCTTTATGTTTATTTTTCGATAAGCACAAGTATGCAAAGTGGCATCTCTGTGGAAAATACATTTCCAGGCGTCTAAAAGCATGCTGTGAAATATTTTACGTTTTCTATTTACCATCCAGCAACATCTTTTAAAGCCAGTCAAAATTGAAAAATGAACAAATAGCACTTGATACTTGTAGACACCATAGAAAGTAAATTATTGTCAGTAGAGTTTCGAAAGGCAGGCATCATAAATTGATTTTTCAATTTCGATGAAAGCCCATATGAACCCACAAACAGGCTCCTCTCAGTGAGATGAAAACACTTGCTGGCGACACCTCTTAGGGATTTAAATAATTTATAACATAGACACCGAGAGACAACAAAAGCTTCACGTCAATTCAGGCTAAGGACACAGTAAGAGTATATATTGTTGGCTAGCATTAGATTATCATGTTCCAGACTTAATTAGTTATAACTAGCAATTATATAGATGTATAAGTACTTACCCTGAGGTTGCCGCTCGAGCGGCGATCTGTTGTGGCATAGTGCTGCAGTCCGCCGGGTCCCGTTAGAGGCACTACGCCGCAACCGGAACGGATGCCCTGACCCAGAGTCGCTCTACACAACAAACATGGCAATTTCGATTTGCGAATTTTTGCATAGGTCGTATGCGTGTGTGTGTGTGTGTGTGTGTGAGGTTGTGAGTGGGTGTTTATGGGGGGTATATCGTATATCATGTTGTAGATGGGTTTGTGCATGTATTTTCGATTTTCATAGGCAGGCAGGCAGCACATTAAAGACAGGACACAGACGGCAGATAACGGGAGTGTGGAATTTTGGAGATTGGAATTCGGAATATGGATAATGGATAATGGAATACGGAGTGCGGGCAGTCAGGCAGAGTAGCAGAGATAGCAATATAAAGACAGAGAGAGAGAGAGAGCGAGATAGAGAGAGAGCAGGCATGGCAGGCACACATACACACAGATAAAGTGGTTTCACAGGCATGTTGTTGAGTTATTGTTGATTGTTGTTGTTTTTGAGTTGTCATTGTTGTTGTTGTTGTTGTGGTCGGTATTGTTGTCGTTGTGTTGGTAATCGTGTTAGACAATCAAGCAGAGTTAGCAACAACAACAAGCCGTCGATTCGATTACCAAATTACGAAATTGAAGAGGAAACATACGGATGTGAAAGCAAAAAGAGAGTGGATCAAATATATAGGAAAGATGGAAAAAGAAACGGGACAAAGACGAAAGAATCTGGTTAATCGATGTTTGGAGAGTAACTATTAAATGTTTCGTATTTCGTATGCTATGTCACGATTAAACTACACGTAGCGTAAAACAACAAACAAATCAAATAACTATAGTGAGAGAAAAAACCCCGAAAAATAGGAAATAGAAAGGAAATTAACTTGAAAAAAGAATAGCATTGCTAACAGACACGAAACCAGCAGCCATTAATAAATTTGTCTTTTTTAAGCCTTAGAATTCCAATCACACATAGTATCGATAAGGTAGTATTTGTATGCAGTGGTACTTATTAAGATGACAACGGTTAGACTAGTTCAAGCTACTTAAAAACATTGATAACACATACATAGAACTTGTTTTCGAGTGTCTGCGTATGTTTTTGAGTGTGTGTGTGAGAAATAGAGAGAGATAGGCTACTTAGTAAGCAAGTTTTACTTACAATTGACACTGTAGTTGCAAAATTGCAAAATTGCAAAACCAAATTAACGACTTCTTAAAGAAATAAACTTAAGAGAGCTACTACCCTGCGGTCTGTAGGAAACCAATTCTCTGTAATATCTGAATTTTCAGATGCTTAAAAGTATGCAACAAATTCTTTTATAGAGGCATACACTCAAGCTATCCCAAACCACATCAAATTATTAATTGCATTCTTTTAGGAAAAGAATTTAAAGAGCATGACTTGATACCGCAGGGCAAACTCACTCAGAACGCTTCACAGTATGCAACAACAAACATGGACTATATCATCTAACCACGGAAATGTAGATGTGTATGTGTTCATGGAGTCGTGTGCTAGTGTGTGGTCATGTAATTGGTCTTTAAGGTTCCATTGTGCGTTTAGTGGCTGTCTAACCGAGCTCAGAAAACAGCCCTGTATCACAGAGAACTTGGGTGTTGTTCCGGCGCAGTGACGAAAGACGCTCGTGTGGAAGGTGTGTGTTTGGCATTTGCAATGCCCTAACTTATTAATATTGTGTGAAATAGCATTTGCCCACACCTCGGTTACATTGACGTAAAGCCTTAACTCTAGATTTCAACTACATTAAATGCTCGACTCGTAAATCAACCTAAGTAAATGCAACGTTAAGCGCTCCTCGGGGAGTGTATCGCTATAATATCGATATCGGATATGCAAAGCTTGGACACTGGTTTTTGTATATTCTTGATATTCTTGATGTGTGCGTTCCTAGTTCGATGCCTAAAGCACTTAATAATATCGTGGTATGTACGTCTAGTCTACTAACTCGGATGTGTGTCTATTCTGGGGTGAATCTATCAACTATTCGTAATGACGAAATGACTAGCGCTGTGCTCCAGTTATTGTTCTCTCCCTATAGTTATTATCGTATCTCATCTTCATCAGCTTGGCTAAACAACAAATCAGTATGAATCCCATTTGATTTTTGATTATTAATCGTTTTCATTTTCCTTATAATTTTCATTTGAATTATCTTTTGCTCATTGGTTCGTGCGGATTATTTAGTGGCCCTGCAATTTGGCCAATTGTCTGGAGGCTTCCATTTGAAATTCTTCCATTTGACAGTAAATTAGGTATCTGCATTTCGGATATAGAAAATACAAATAAACATGGATCGAGAGATATTGGTTGGGAAAGAAAAGAGAGAGAAACATGGCCACGAGGGCCGCCATTAGTGCGATTCGCTTAACGAGGCGATTTTATTTTGCTTAACAGATCGTCTAAGACACGTTCACATGATCATCAACAACGAAACAAAGTACATTATTATCTAAAGATACAGGCTGGAGACCTTTACATACTTATTATATGCACGAGTAGACAGATTTAGATACAGATATGACATCGCATGATATGACATCTAATGACTCGAGTAGTTGGCTTTTCTGCAGCCACAGTTGATAGGGATGTGGAAGAAGATAGGTGGATGGTATGCACATAAGAAGCAGCTTATAAACGAATGATCAAAGCACTAAATATATAATATAATAGCCAGAGATGAATGGGAATGACTATAAGATGAGTGGTGTATGTTTCGGGTGACGATGATAGCACTAATGATGGCAGATGAAATGAAGACTGAAGAGCTCCCACAGTTACGAAACACTTCCTGCTAGCAAACTCCAACCAAAAAGAAACACTCTGTAAATGATATGGTCTTAACGAAGGTGCAAAAATGAACACAAACTCACAACGGAAACAGTTAACAGGAAAGTTATATAAACTGGGGGTTGGGGATGGAAATACAAAACTGCAACAACTCAATCAAAACAAAGACAACTCTAATCAAAACGCTGTATTACGCTACATATTTATGTTTCCACAATTCACATGTCAAACCCGAGGGATAACACAAAGGACAATCACGCACACACTCACAATGCACACACGCACACACACAGAGATATCTAGATGGTCTTTGTGGGGTTGCTAAGCCCTAAAAACTTACCTTGCGGGCAAAATGAGGGCATCGAATTCCGTGTTGAGATGCCGCCGTATTATGTTCTTCGAGGGAGGAATGCCCAGGGCGGTGGCCATGGTGTCACCGGAGAAGGATGGTTCCAGCACTACAAGGCCACCGTGCACGCCGCTATCTGCAGGTGGGTAAGAGGGGTTGGAGAGAGAGGGATTAGAGTGGGTCAGAGGCTTTCGTAATTGCTGCACTGAATGGCATAATCAAAGAGCAATCGATATGGCACACGCACCCTTCAGATTGTCGGCGTACTCGCCCAGGTCGATGGATCGCACCCAGCGGATGAAGCGCTGGTTCGTCCACACAATGGGGTCCGTGTCCACCGTCTCCGATTGCACACGTCTCATGGCCAGCGTCTGTCGGTCATACTTCACGATGCGCAACACGTGGATGCCTGTCAAAGAGTAGGTTCAATAAGGTTAAAAGGTTTTCGCCGATATAGAACATATGTAATTACTATCTACCCCGTAAGATAGTTTAAGTTGCTTTAAAGTATAACTTGCTAATGCCACTTATGAATGCAATACCAAAAATTAAACAAAGTAAAACTATAACTTAAACTTTCTGGACCCTACCGTGAACAATGCTGGCCTGGTGGAACTTCCGCGTTACGCCCAGGAACTTCTCGAGCTCCTTCTTGGACAGCGTGTCCAGCATTCGGGCGTCGACGAGAGACTGCACAAAGGGCTCCGCATATTGGGGCAGTCCGATGTCCGGAAGCCACTCGGTGGCCACCCAGGTGTGGCCCAGCTGCGTTATCAGCGGATAGCGAACCATCTCCGGACGTCTTTGCTCCTCGATGGCCAGTCGCAGCTTCTTGCGATGCATTGGGTGGGCGAGTCCCAGTCCCGCCTCCAGTTCTACGTCATTCAGCTCCAGTAGCACCTTGCCACTCTTCACGTTCTCGGCGCACCTGGCACTATACTGGGGCATTCCCAGGGCCACCTCCAGCCAGGCGAGCACTTGAGTGGCCCGCCAGCGGTCGATGGGCAGCTGGGAGGCCTCGCGCAGCAGGCGAAGCTTCTCAGCATAGCCCTCCTCCGTCAGTGGATTCCACGAGTAGTCGGCATCTGAAAGGGGGTAAAATATGTCATCATATTTCTGATTCTAAGTTTTCCTTTCAATTGATTGTAGTCCCAAACGACTATTTAAACTAGTTAGTTAAACCGCTTGATATTATCAAAGTAAGTTGTCTTAAGTGTATCACTCACATTCAGTCACTCCATCGGCGGATAGGGCCTTGCTCTTATTCCGAGAGCGGGCAAACACCCGTGATATGCTTCCCCAAGTTCCACCGCGTCCATTCCGAGCGCCCAGTGGTCCACTCTTGCTGGCACTGGCGAACTTGCGGCTGATGGCGCCGCCGCCTGGTCCTTCGGGGTCCACAGGTGAGCCCAACTGCTCCACGGATCTTTAAGAATGGAAAAAGTAAGTTCAAATTGTCGTTTATGGATAGAATTTTCAGTGGAACTGATTCTAAATTTATTGTGTAGTTTACAATTTCCCTAAAAAGAGATTTATCACTGTCTAAATTATACAAAATCCAAAAATGCAAATAAAAGCCGATGCTAAAATTATATTATCATGTGTCATGTAATTTTAGCTGCCATTTATCATATGATTGGGGTTTCAGTATTGGTTGTCCACATGCATTTAATTAAAGCCGTGAAATGGCGCAGATTAAATGGAAAACATTACATAGAATGTATCTTAGTTGGACACGTTGATTTGCAATGCAAATAATACATTTTAGGAAACAGATTCTAATGGCTTTTTATGGTCGAAAGGTAAATTGGTAATTGTTACTCCAAAGGTGAGATAAAATTGGTTATTTTATGGTCAAATGCGGGATTTAGAAGCTTTAATATCGGAAGACTTAATAACGATTTGAATGTAACGGCCGTTGCCTGCCTCACTAGTTGAATGTCTCGTTCCTAAGTTGTATCGTTTCTAGTTGGTTCACAGATCGGTACTTTCTCATGTTATACTAGTAGCGAGAAGTAGCGAGATGTAAAGAGTAAGCGTGACGCAGCTACATATGTATTGCTGGACGTTGTCCATTGAGTTGCTTAGTATGTGAGAGTGAACGGGATGACAATAACGATACAGGCGAACTGTGTAGCTGAAAAATTGGTCACAAAAAATTAAAGAGGGAAAGAAGAACAGCCATTCAGAAAGCAAGCCGCTAGGAGCAAGGTCAAGGGAAGTCGTTTTGTGCCTTAAGCTGTTTCTACGAAGTTTTTACGAAAGGTGTAAGGTGTAAGTCCCGACCCGACATTAAATTCAATATTTGTATTTAAAAGTTACTTCATTTAAGAAATGTTATTAAAGTAAAAGAATACCTTGAGTAGGCAGCCGAATTGAGAGGCGACAATGTGGGGCTGCGTTCTTTGGGTGTTCCAACTGAAAAAGGAAAGTGGTTTTAGTGAATCTGTAAAGATAATATTCACACCACTTACATTGATACATATTCTGGCTGGATACCAGAGAGATACTATCCGGATCTACGGTGATGCATGGTCCATTATCGCAGGTTCCATCGCTGAAGTTCAGTTCCCCGCCAGTGCTCTCCCTATCGCTGCTGTTCCTCAGTCCCGAGTCATTGGAGCAGGAGTTGCGATCCCCTGCCGTAGCTCCTGAACCGCCACTCAGGCTGCCACTGAAAGCGGACAGCGAGTTGCCACGCCCACTGTCCTCTGTAGTACCTCGCATTCCGGCCAGGCCACCGCCCATTCCTGAAGCGACAGCCATCTGACTGAGCATTCCGGAGGCAGCCGATGGAGGAGTTAATGGAGCAAAAGAATGAAGACTCTCTTGATCGGAAAGACATCCAGTCAGTTGGCGGCGGGCCTCCTGGAGCTGCTCCTGCAATCTCTGGAGCTGCAGATCCCTAGCCGAAAGCTGTTGGGCCAAGGCCAGGGAACGCTCCGCTTCGTCGCGAGCTTGTTTGAGCAGTTGGAAACGCTCGCGATCCCGATCCCCGGAGATCTTTGCATTCGTGGTCTCCGTTTCCCTAACACGTTCCTGGTAATTTCGGATGAAGTCGCGCAGCTCCTGCTCCTTTTCCTGCAGCGAGGCACAAAGCTGTTTCACCTGACCCAAGAGATCGGATTTATCCGTTCGCAGCTTCTTCCTCTCCAGTCGCATGGTCAATAGCTGGTTCTTTACTGATCTCAGTTCTGACTCCAATCGCTCAATTCGCTCCTTGGCAGCTGATCCTTCAGCGGAGGAGACAGCCTCTATTTCGGTAGCGGTATCCACTCCACCCACGGCTCCATCTGTGGAGAGCTCAAGGAGTCGCCTCAGTCGAAGGAGTTCGGCATTGAGACGATCGTTCTCCTCGCGCAGCTTCATGGCAGTTTCTGTAAGAAATCGGATATTAAAATGGCGAAAGAGGGTAACCCTTGGTCGAGAGTTCTCAGCTACAGCTACCAAGCTGTGGACAAGCAGCGATCTTAGCAGGGATGCAAGCCAAAAGGTATATAAGTAGTATAATCTAACATCCTTTCAAGCTTTTTCATCCTGAAATAGTAGATCTCTAGGTCATCTAGAGTTTATATGCCAACCCACTGGCCTGCATGCCTGCTCATCGATATTCTACTCAAAATTAGCATTAATGTCGTCCTCTAGCCACCCACTACTACTTCCGATTCCCGACCATTTTTTACACATTTCCCCGCCAAGGTTTCTTTAGCAAAGAACCAAGAATACGGAAAAGTAACTTAAAGAAACGAAGGAAACTAAGCCAGCCCGAAGTGGGACACCATCTGCTACCAGAGCACTGGCATTTAATATGCAAAATGAGAACTCAAAACTGAAAACTAAAAACTGAAAACAGAGAACACATTCAAAGTTTCGCAGGCAAACTAAAATCCAGTGCAATTATAACTTAACCAGGCCAGAGCAATGAATCGGCAGGCACTAAGCGGATGAATGGGGATCAAGTGCAACTACTTTATGGGTGAACTACAGATATATATGTACGTTTGGCATATTGGGGGTGGTCTGGGGATGCGGGTTAATTGTGATTGCTGCTGCTTCAATTAAAAATACAGAGCGGAAATTGAGATGAAAGCGAAAAGAGGAGGGCAAGTACATAGATTGATCGACTTACCTGGCCGGGGAGCGGAATGCAGATGATGGAACCTTGACTCGTCGTTGCGATTTCCATCGCAGGAGGTGGACTCGAGGAGGAGCAAGGCCGCCGAGGCGGCGGATGTCGGTGAGTGCGGCGGTCCCAAGGCCACCGATGAATTCGGATTCAGATTCAGATTCGAGGGCGGGTCCTGATCCAGCTCCGATAAGTTGGCATTTCGCTTGTCGACTGGATACGCCGTTGTTCAGATACAGATACATAGATATAGAAGGTTGTGTTTCGGGTATGTTTGGGGGGTGTGTTGTTGGGGGTAGACAAACATGTTCGGGTTGACCCAATAAGTAGTTCCAAACAAAACAAATAAACAGCAATGGCAAACAACGACCACAACAGCAATAGCAAGTATAAGAACAATGCCAACAAATGATGATAATGGTAATGGGGCTTGTGTGTATGCGTGAGTGACTGGATGTTTCGGACGTACATATATATATATATAAGCCGATATATAGATATATAATCCGACCAGGTGGGTGACAGGCAGGGAATACGAGGGCGTGCAGGACTCGAAATTAGATTTTCACTCATCGAAAACGGACAAATAGGATTGTAAAGTAAATAAACAACAATTATTGCAGTCGAACATGGAAATGAATTAATATTGATTTTCGTAACATTAATCTAAATGCAAACGAGTCGACGGGTAATGGCGAAAACAATGAATTCGGAGAAGAATGCATTTACGAGATGAACAATTTGATTATCTATTTATTTCCCCAGCATCAATCCCCGGGCCCAGGTCACCGATTCATCCATGTGAGTGACTGATGATGAGCCTAAATTGATTGCACACACACACACACATTCGCACAGCCAGGATAATCGTTATTCACACACGAAGTCACCCTGTGGACAGGATTTTGCCAACGTTTGTTTTTTCCAGCTTTTTTGCTTATTGATTGTCAACATGGATTTATTTTATGGCCAAGGATTTAAATTAAAATTTAATTAGCATTTAATGCGACGCATAAAATCATTATTCGAGGCACAAAAAAGCATATTTGGATTGAGGTCAAAACGGAATGAATGGCCGAGATTGTTTATCAAATGAAAACAAACAAATTGAAGAGTTCACTTTTATTCAAGTCCTAAAACTGAAGTGCCTGAATAGCTTTCCCCCTTTCTCTGAGTTTAATTTTCAACGTTTAAGTTCTGCAATCCAACTCGAACGCAACCACTTAGGGAGCCACCGACGTTCCCACCTTTCCTCCGATGACCCCGCCTGTCTGCTTCGTTGACTTCCCAACTGCTGCACTCAAACTGATGGGTCAGAAGACCTGGGATCGGGGCAGATAGTGCTTGTACAAACGGACGAAGGCCATTGCCATTACCATCCATTTGTCAGATTTTTGAAGTGTACATCACTCTGCCATTCTGATATAATCTGATGCGTTGGCCAACCCAGAAGTCCACCAGCAAAAAAGGCACTCTGCTAGCATCCCATCCCAGGAAATATCTAAGCCACCTCCCCCTCATCCTTTGTGCTTTTCCTGATGCTGCCCTGTTGCCCTGTTGTTTTGTCCAGTTTAAGCTTGTGGCTCCTATCTTTTGGTTGCCACTGGAAACTTGCAATCTCCCCGACCACCACAGAGAACACTCTTACACTTTATACCCCTTTTGTGGGCCGTCAAATGCTTTAACAATTAAATTAAAAACATCACGAATGTGGTCCAATATTTTACGCAGTCGGGAGATGGAATTAAATCAGCATACAGGTTGAAAGGATTCAATCAGCGACGCTGATTTAATTCCTCTCTGGCCGGTTCCCATTTGCCATTCCCACAGTGGCCAGCATTTGCTCATTCATGCCGCAAAGATCCGTCTCCCTGCCCCCTGCCTCTTACCCCCTGTCCCAGCCCGCTTGAAGCTCCTTTCTTTGCCCGCAGCAATCTGCTGATTGCTCCCCGCCCCTTTTCACCCACTCGCTTCATGGCGTTTACGCATTACAAATGCATTTGCATACACTGGGCGAAAAACAACATTTAAAGTCAATCATCAATCTACGGGGTTCTGAACTTTTAACAATGATTAAGTAAAAATAAATCATTATTTCAACTTTAACAATAGAGTTTCTTATTTAACAGTTTAATTTTAATAAAATATGATCATGAAAACATGTTCTTTGTTTTAATAAAAAACTCATCAATAGAAGGAGGTAAATATTAGAAATAATGATTTAAATGTGATGCCATTTGTTCCTGATGATTGATCATCAATCAATTGACCGTTTCAAGGATATTTAAGAAGATCTACCTTATTTAACTCTTAAGTAAGCAAGTAAATATAAATAAATTAGTAAAAAATAAAGAGTATTGAAAGAGGATGTTAGGAAAAGTTCTTGGTAAAATAATATTGAAATTTAATATTAGAAATAACTACCCAAAAACAGACAATCTCAGGTTAATTAACGACTTTCCCCTTGACTTTCCTTTTCTTAGTTTTAAATAATGTTTTTCTCCGTGTTCACATCCCTCTCACAAACAGACGCCCCCGCAAACTTACCGGCATTGAGTGCACTGCTGCTGGAGGGGGCATTGTGGGCGGGGCCGGTTGCCTGAGCCAAGTGACCTGCGGCAATTAAATTCGAGTTATTCGCATGGATCATGGTTGTGCCGGAGTTGCAAGTGCTGCTGCCGTTGTTGCTGTTGCAGTGGGTACTGCCGATGCCATTCGGCAATTGGGACTGCTGCTGCTGCTGTTGCTGCTGGTGGGGCACTCCTGCTGCCACTTCCCCCTTGCCAGGATAAGCAGGACTCCTGTGCTGGTGGTGCTGTAACTGCTGCTGGAGCGGCTGATTATCAGCGGTCATGGGTGGGGTGAGAGTCTGGTTGCTGCCATTCGAACTGGACGGCGAGGAGCTGCTGTCGTTGCTGGGCGTGAGGTCTCGTTTGGTGGCCAAGACCAAAGGTGTTGGCTTGGCTGGCACTCCACCGCCCCCAGATCCTGCTGTTGCTCCTATTGCTCCCGCTGCACCCGATGATGTCGAAGCTGTCACCGAGCTGTCCAGCGATAACAGCGGTCTTATGGGCTTGTTGTTGTTCACGGAAGCGGTTTTCTCCTTCAGCCCCGTCGTCACTGAAGTGTCCAGGGATTTGGCGATTTTCTGGAAAAGGTTTAAATGCATTGGAACAGTTTATGAGTCACTGGAAAATTATGAGCTAAGTAGATTGAAGAGAAAAGCTGTATTAAGATACAAAAGAAGTAAAGTCTGCCCGACTTTGCAAAATCCTTTCAGAATTTATTGATTCTTTTTAAAGATTAAAACTAGGAAGATTATTTAAATCTGATTTTAACGAAACTTTTATTTATTCAAAGTGAAAATAACTTTATTGATTTCAAGATTTAAATCATTTTTTGACATTTCAACAGCTTTTAATCTCTATAATCGTTAACATATCAAGCCAAATAAACAATTTCCATCAATTTGGAGTACTTTATTGCTAAATTAATCATTATAAATTTGTGAATTCTGCAAAATCAGGTCAACAAGATGCATTTGAAAGCCTAACAATAGCAAGAGTCAGATAGCTGGGGGGAGATAGCAAGAGAGAGAAAAGTAGAGCCCAAAGTTGTCAATTAGTCAATGAGGGATGCAGAATGGGTATTTTTCGAGATTTCAGTTTGTTTTTGATCAAGAGAAGGAGGACAAGATGGAGTGGTGCGCCGAAAAAAGAGGGGAGTACAGTGGTAAGGCATGTGGCATATGGCAGGGGGCATGCAATCTGTTCCCAAGCAATGAATGAGGCCCAATTAGGTAAAACATCAAGTGAATTTCGTTTTTGTTGGTGGTGGTGCGGGTGCGGGCTTCGGGTGGGGTTTCGAATGGGATGGCTAGCGGGGAGAGCGGGGGCGGTGCATACAGATTGTACTTACGGATTCACCCAGCTTGTGCAGCGAGGCGTTTATGCGGTCCGGATTGCGCGGCGGCGGCTCTGGTGGCTCGGAGGCTGCCATCGTGGGTCCGGCAGCTAGACCGTTGATTTGCATGCTAACCACCACCAACGCAGGCACCTAACGCACACTCACACACTACGCTGGCTCACACTCGCACACACACACACACCCACTCTCTGTCAAAAGGGGCGTGCCAGTGGGCGGTAAGGACGTTCTCGGATTGTCTTTTTGGCGTCTCAACTGCCACCACTCTGGACTAATCGAAGCTCAAACATTCTGACTAAGCACTACACAGAGAGAAAAAATTACAAAAATTGTGTTAGGTCGCTTGCCTTTTGTAAATTTACGTGAATCTGAAGTTTTCTAAAGATAACACCGGATTTCCTTAATAATTACAAACAATTAAGAAATCAAAGGGAGCCTTAAATTCAAAAGTGTCTAAAAGTAGGCAATAATTAATTTTCTAATTAATGTATTTCGAAAAAACTAGTTATTTTGAGTTCTTTTAAAGGTGATTTGAGAACTCCAGATAGCTTATTATACTCTGTCCAAAAACTTTCAGTTTTCGATAGCCTATCCTTTTCAATATCGAACTAAACTTAGATGATGACATTTTCCCTCTGTTCTGAGCCCTAGAAACGCTGGGACCGGGTCAATACGTACGCTAAGCTGGCTGTCCCTCTCGATCTCTCTCGCGTTTCAATCTGCCATTCAATTACGAGTTGTCCTGTAAGTAAACAGAAATGGGAATTTTTTTAGTCAGCGTCTTTTGGATATGCAACGATTTTCCTGCAGCTCAACTAATTTGGGTCTCCCCACAAAATGGCCATAAAAACTGAGAGCTTTGGGTTTGAATCCCCGACGGGCGTAGCTGTTCGCATGTAGGCCAACACCAGCCATAAACCTCTATTTGGACTTGTTTTTTTTGTTGTTGTCTTTGCATGGCCGTTGCATGTCAACGCTCAGTTCGCAGTTTTCAGTTTACAGTTCTCCTGCTGCAGTTGTCACTAGAGCAGCTGTTCCTAAGGTAAAAGTTAAATTACAGCTCTAGCTGGCAGCTTGCAACTTGCAACTCGGAACGGATTCTCTGTGGGGCGGAGTGACAGCTGTTAACTGGGCATGAAGCATGTGACACAGGGCCCAGAACTACCCCACGAGGTGCTCGTAACTTTAACTGGTTGGAAACCAAAGGTGACATGACATGCCCTCTTCAGTTTGACCAACAAATAACTCATTACATTCTGGGGTGTAGTTTTGAAATCATGACGTTATTGGGTAAAGATGCACAGAGGGAAAACTCGTGGGGATAAGGAATATTTTGAAATGGAAAACTTATTTTTAGACACCTTAAACAGGGATTTAAGTCCTTTGGTGTTTTGATTTTCACAAGCGGTAAGTATGATAAGTGTGATTAAAATAGCCAAAAACCAACCAAAAAGAAATCCTCAGATATATAGTTTATAATATTCCCCCTGCTTTATTCTCAACAAAAATCTACAGATTCGACTGACCGCTCTGCCCTTCTGAAAACCCCAAAACCCAGACCCGTTCCACGGAAATACTTTAAGTTTAATCCGCTTTAAGACCAACTACAACAAAGGATGACCAGCAAAATATGTTGCGGTCATGTTTGGCTTCATGTTTTTTCTTGCAATCTCCCCAAAAACCCATGATCCGAATGGATGCTTGGGGTCGAGCGATAGAGCACCTAGGCGCATATGTTTACGTACACGTCGGGCTCACAGAAGCTACCGACCGAACCCACACTTAAAGCCGCTTCCCAAGCACCTTGACGACGCAACCACAAACATTTATATTAAAGCAGCCAGCAGGCCACGGCAGGCCAGGCCAGGGCAAGGCAGGTGGTAAAATAAGGGGGCGGGGCCAGGTGGTGGTTTGGGGGCGTGGCAGCCACACTAATGTGGCGTGGGCCACACTAGTAGTACAAACTTTAATCATAATAATAACAAGCAACTTTTGCGTTACATCCGTGCCACGAGCACAGATGAAGTTCGGTGAAGTTGCGCTGTTGTCGGCGGACTGAATGGGTATTTATGTTGCACACAGCCGGGCCGCAGATAGATGAGGTCCTCTTAGCGCCGGCAAACCCCATGGGTGTCTGCTGAATGAATATACTGCTAACATGGCTTTTTAAATTGTCTGTTTTTATATGTCTGCAGTTTTCGGATGGCAAACTATTGCTGGCAGCTTTTATGATTTTGTAATTCTGTTGCAGGATTACCCTGGCAGTGAGGTAATTAAAATATTCATGTACCAAAGTACATTTTATGCTTCTGTGTTTAAAAATGTTGTGTTCAAATCTCAGCTAACAAAAACACTCCTATGGAGTTCTTAATTAATAGTTCTTTGTCTAAAATGTATGCTAAAATTACTCGTTCGTTGAGTCTGTAAATCTGGACTTACTATAGATCTCATCCCAGATCTCATCCGCAGCTTCCTTGTAGGTTATTTTATATCTTCTTAACATAATCATTTACTCAGTAACCCAAATCAAGGAGTTTATAACTAAGCAAGCCTCTTGATTAGAGTACCTTGTACTTTTCTACCTTAAACTTTTTGGCCTTGTCCAAAAATTACTCGATAGACTTTTCCAAATTATGAGCAACCCCAAAGAGTTGAGTGGACCCAATCCGTCGGCCTTCTACGTGCACTTAGAGGATCCTCTGCAGGATGAACCTCCCAGTGGACTGCACCGCAAGTTCCGTCCTCCACCGCCACTCCCCGTGGAGCAGCGGTTGGAGGCGGCGGAGGAGCGTCGCAGTTGGCTTGGCGAGCAAAAGGTAGAACAGCTGTCCGTCCGCCTGGCGCGAGTGGCGCTGATCACCGATCGCCACCACCGGCAAACCACTCAAAGTTGGCTGGAAGCCAAGGATCGCATCACTCGCGACATGGACGAGCATGTACGAAAGCGCACGGCCCAGATCTCGAAACGTTTGAGGAACCTCAACGATCACAATCAGAAGGTGCAGGTAATCAAGAATGAGGCCAAGCAGGAAAAGCTCCTCAGGAAGCTGACCCATCTCTACGAGGCCAAAAACGCCAGCACCATTTCACAGTTTTGGGGCAAAATTCCCAAGTTAAATAAGAAATAAATAAATTGGTAAACAGGGAAGAAAACTTCTAATAAAATAACAAATTCCAGTATAAAAAATATTCATTTTTAAAGAAGCAAGAAATAAATTAAAACTTCTTAAATATGTTCACCATATCGCATCTGCCTTTAAAAGTTGATATTTTAAAGTACTTTTAAACTTCATTATCACAACTTGAAGACTTAATATTTCCATATGGCTCAGACATTTTCCTTTGTGTATGGAAGACACAATTTTCCGCTTAGAAAGTTTTGCCTGTCGCAGCGCTTGTCAAACTTCCACTTTTCACTCAAGTCTGCCTTCGACATAGTTGGAGAAAATCGGTTGTCAACTTTCAAACAAGTCCGTTCTGCGTTTTTATAAGTTAACTTTTGAGGGGCTTTAAGTTTGGCCAGGTTGTCCGGCAATTTGCATTGGAATGAAAGCCCAAAGTTGAGCACGTAAAATTAGTTACAATTTGTGTCGTTGCTGAACAAATTAGCCGCCGCCCGAGAGACTCGTTAAGTGGTAGTGGGTGGCCGATTTGAAAGCATTTTCGTAGAGTTTCCTGCTTTCTAAGCCTTCTCCCTCAAAGCCAGATCCCGATTATGTGCACTCAACTGCACATTTTCCAGAGTGTTTGTATACACACACACACACACACACACACACACACATCACGAGTCAAAGGAGCTTGTTGCTGGTGGCCAACTAAGTGCTTTCCCTTTGTCCAGAAGCATCTTGCTTCCAGTTAGCAGCTCCTAGATCCCAGCTCCCAGCTCCCAGCACCTAGTCACCAGGCACCATTCTACAGCTTGAAGTTCAGGCTGAGCACTTGACCCGTTTTCGCCCAACTTATTTGATTTGTGGCCTGCTGGTGACGCTGCTTATGCAGTTGCCTTCGCATTCAATTAAACTCTAGGGCTTTCAATGTGTGTCTCTCTGTGTGTGTGTGAGGGGGCGTCAGTTGGATGAGGGCGGGCGATTGCCCTGGGAAGTATGCTTCATAAATTGGTTTTTATTAGGGTCTCATGTGTGCGTTTGTGGCTTACGCTCTCGAAATAACAGGCAAAATATTTGGAATTTATTGCCATTGCTTTTGATACAATAAATATGCTTATCAATTTTTTATTCGATACACCGGAGCTCAGGACTCTGGCTCAAATTAAAATAAATCAAAAACTTGAGAAGGAATATTTTTAAATGAATTTGCCAAGCAACTGGGCAATAAGCTTTGGCATATTGATTGAAAATTGCCATACAAAATGCATGCAAATTAATGCAGTATTTGTGCTGAGCAAAGTAATTCGAACAGACTTGATTACACTAACCACAGACCAACGAGCCACGCCCCATCCCCCCCGTCCACCAAAATGTCCCATTATGTCGATGGCTGCCCTGAGGGCGCCACAACTCGGTGACAATTGACATTGGCAGTGACAGTGGCAGAGGCAGCGGCAACCGGGAGAAATTCAATGAAAATTAATAAGTTGAATTAACAGATTCACGCCGCGGGCAGCCATCGAAATCCAATCCGCCGCACACGCCAAGTGGGAATTTAATGGCTCACCGCCCAGTCAAATGAGTGACCGGTCCATCCTGTCCATGCTGTCTATCCTGACATCTCTCATTAAGGTCCTGTCCATTTGAGCTGAGCTTGGATGTCCTCTGCTCGCCAGCTTTCAATTGGATTACCTCCAAGCGAACACTTCATTTCCGAAAGGCTAACTTCATTGCCCTCTGCATAGCCAACTGTGTGACTCATAACCTGATGACTAACCAGGAATTCGTGTAGAGGACAGGAGAGAGAAAAGTAATTTGAAGGTAAGATTTCCATATTGGAACAGTGGAAAAGTGGGATAATCCTCCGTTAAAACATGTATAAGAAGATAAAATACATACATATATCTAAAAGAAATATTGTAATTTTAGGCTGTTGAAAAGCAGAAAATGGTCTTTCGGAATGCTGATATGGGTCTGGAAGCCGTTTAATATATTATTGCATACTTTTAAGTGCCTTGGCAAAAGAGCACTTATCGTGGTACCTCCATCAATAATAATCCTTTACAGCAAATGGAAGCTCTTTCTGGTTTGGTTTTATTTCCCTATCAACAAAACTATATTAGTATGTCTTTATTAATTTTGTTTTCTTGTAATAAATTCCTTAAACTACTGGGCTAAAGTTTCTCAGCAACAACTATATAACGCTATGAATATCCCTATTCCCTTTCAACCGTCCCATATTACAAGGCAGAAATGCTTCCAGAGCGTTGACCGTTTTGCACTTGCTTTTAGCCCTAATTTCCTGTATGACTCGATGGGTTCGCCTGCCTTCACAGCCAGAGAACTCCATTGGAGCGCAGAGTGGAAGGAATGTGTGTGAGCAACGCAAATTACAATTTGTGCAAGGGCTGCTCCTCCAGAGAAAGGGTAGCCACATAAACCATCTCCTCCGCCTCTGTTGTTTGCCAACCAACCGATTTCGCTGCAATCTACAGCGCCAGCATTCTCCTCCTTTAACCACGAAACTGACAGCAATCAGCTTTGCTGTGGATAAAGTTTTATGCCGAGAAACTCATTTAGTTTGCAATTAATTAGTGGCAGCCGGCAGAGCGGCGTTGAATTTGTGTTTTTAATTTGACTAAATAGATGTAGCTACCAGTAGCGGTGGTGGGCGTGTATAACACAACCGATGAGGAGGAGCTCTAAAAGGGGGCGTGGCATAGTTCTAGTTGAGTTTCTCGCTAGGCGTGAAATGTAAATGCTTGACCCAATTGGCAGGGGGGTCAGAAGAAGAGAAAAACGGCAGAAAAAAAAGGCGAAAAACAACCAACCGCCGACAACAAAATCATTTAAAATGTTTTCCATGGGGATGGCAAGAGGCGGCGTAAAACTTTTTCTCCGGGGCTTTCGGCGAAGACAACTTGAACACAATTTGATAACCTACATTTTGGGGGTCTTGGCAACATTAAAAATTTACACATGACGAGGTTGGCTGGAGGGGTGGCTGAGAGGTGACTGAGGGGTGACTGAGGGGTGGCTATAGTGCAAAAGTGGAACGGAGTGTTTCCTCAGCGTCCTTGAGCTCTTGTTTTTATTTGGTATTAAGAGCATGTCAAGTGAGTCTGGCGAAAAGAGAGACTGAGGCTGTAGCTCAGCCTTCCAGCTAAGTGAGTTTTCGTTGTTTTCCCTTGTCACAGGAAACGGATGTGTGTGTGTGTGAATGTTGGAGAAAGAAGCGGAGAAATTGGTAGGAGGGCGACGGAAGACTGGCTCCGGAGGTGGGTAGCCAAAGTCTTTAAGTCTTTTGCCTTAATAGCTTTCAGTTTGCGACTTTCCTGGTCACAACCCGGCCTTATTCTGTCCCGTTACGTCGCCGTTACCCCTTCTTTTGGCCCAAATACAACGTACTCCCCCCCTTCCTGTTCGCCGTGAGTTATTGTCGTGCGATTTATTACGCGACGCACTGTTGGGGTAGCCTTTGTAGCCTTTGGGGGTCCCGGGCCCACATGGCGTATGCGTAACGTATAGTCGTGGTTAAAACTCACGTAATGTGCAACATTTACCCCCCGCGATTCGCTGCCAGCCCCTTTTGATTTATACAGCCAGGTGGCATACTTTTGACCCATATGGCTTTGATTTCTTGCAAAACTCAGCACTCACCAGTCACTGGAATTTAAGAAGTACTTTCATGCTTCAACATTTTACTTAAGGAAGTTCTCAGATAAGATGTAAGTTGATAAATATCTGTCTAACAACTTTGTTAAGTGCTTACATTTATTTTCATTAATCTCAGATCTTGTCATAGTTTCTCTTTGAATATTTGTTGCCAAGAAGTATTCCCCTAACATATTACGTTTATAGCTCATTCAATGCTGATATTCGATAACAGTTTGATAGGCTCATTTAATGCTGACGCTGATCTCTTGCTGAATATGCATTTTAGTCAGAAATACTCCTATTTCACTTTAATCTACTTATCATTCCCCTAATTTCTCTCAGTGCATTCAAATGACTGTCGTGTCTGGCATCAATTACGGGCATTGTCATTAGTGAAAACACCACTCGGAAATTAATAAAGATTTGCACAGGCGCAAATCGGTTTAAAAATATGTGCAAACACTTTGATTATTCATTCACAAAACCCAAGGGGGCCCCGAAACTCCCAATGAGATAGTGCGTAATTCGTGACTGACACAGATTTTTCCCTATTCGCTTTTCCGTTGATTTTCCTCCTTTTTGCGCACTCAAACAACAACAAAGAGCAGCATAAAAATGCCAAAAAATTTCCCTGCTTCACGCACACTCGCACAAATATTGACCGAATTTCACTGGCGGTGGTTTTTCCTACGCCACCCCCCTGCCCATCTCTTGCGCTCGAAAATTCGATTGTTTTCCGCTCTGTTGTTGTTTTTTCGGCGATGCTGTGTCTTTCTGTTTGTTTTGGGGAAAATTTACCTCGGATTCTCGGACTGGAAAAACAAGCAGCGTACACACCACGTGGCCAAGTTGAAGTCAATGTCGGGTTTTCCTATTTTCTTTCCTGTTTTTTTCCTTGTTTTTTGGCTTTCTAATTTGTTGGACACGTTCTGGTTGAAAGTTTTTTTTCGGCTACACTCTTGTTGATTTTATTGACACCCACACATGCACACCAGCACACGCACTGCCGCCCACGCACACACTCTCAGATGATTGAGAGAGAGAGATAAAGATAAAGTGGGAGGAAAGTTGAACAGAAAGAGACAGAGAGCGGGCGAAGGATATATGACGATTAATTCTGGCGCTTGGAACGTCTCACTTGGCGAATTTCTCGAATGGCACTGAGCTCGAGTCCTTGGCATTTGGCTCGAGTGCCGTTTTGGCGGCGTCCCTGTGACGTCACAGAAAGCTCTAAGTGCAACGAGAAGGGAGAACAGGATGTCAGAGCGCTTCTGCGCAGTGGTAAAAGCTCGGCTGGCACCAGAGAAATAACCCTACCGAAAACTCTCGAAAACCGAAAAGAGAAAGAGACCGAAAGCCGAAAACCCGACCTAGCCTTGGACAAGTGTTTGTTTACGTTTTCCGTCCGAGCATCCTGTAA